GGGTTCCTCAAGGTTCGGTTTTGGGTCCGATTTTATTTAATCTATTCATTACTGACCTCGGAACCGAATGTAGAAGTGGGCTGATAAAGTTTGCGGATGACAGAAAGTTGGGAGGTATTGCCAACTCGGAGAAGGATCGGGATATTCTGCAGGGAGACTTGGATGACCTTGTAAATTGGAGTAATAATAATAGGATGAGATTTAATAGTGAGAAGTGTAAGGTGATGCATTTAGGGATGACTAACAAGAATTTCAGTTATAAGCTAGGGACGCATAGGTTAGAAGTGACGGAGGAAGAGAAGGACCTCGGAGTCCTGGTTGATCGCAGGATGACTATGAGTCGGCAATGCGACGTGGCTGTGAAAAAAGCGAATGCGATCTTGGGATGCATAAGGTGAGGTATTTCTAGTAGGGACAGGGAGGTGCTGCTTCCGTTATACAAGGCGCTGGTGAGACCTCACTTAGAGTACTGTGTGCAGTTCTGGTCTCCTGTGTTTAAAAAGGATGAACTCAAACTGGAACGGGTACAGAGAAGGGCCACTAGGATGATCCGAGGAATGGAAAACCTTTCCTATGAAAGGAGACTCGAGGAGCTTGGTTTGTTTAGCCTAACCAAAAGAAGGCTGAGGGGGGATATGATTGCTCTCTTTAAATATATCAAAGGGATAAATACCAGGGAGGGAGAGGAATTATTTCAGCTCAGTACTAATGTGGACACGAGAACAAATGGATATAAACTGGCCGTGGGGAAATTTAGGCTTGAAATTAGACGAAGGTTTCTAACCGTCAGAGGGGTGAAATTTTGGAACAGCCTTCCGAGGGAAACGGTGGGGGCGAAAGACCTCTCTGGCTTCAAGATTAGGCTAGATAAGTTTATGGAGGGAATGGTTTGATGGGATAACGTGATTTTAATCAATTAGGCAATAACGGCCATCACTGGTAAAATGAGGGTCTGGCTAGAATCTTGCCTGTATGCTCGGGGTTCTGCTGATTGCCATATTTGGGGTCGGGAAGGAATTTTCCTCCAGGGTGGATTGGCAGTGGCCCTGGAGGTTTTTCGCCTTCCTCCGCAGCATAGGGCGGGGGTCGCAAGCTGGAAGATTCTCTGCAACTTGAAGTCTTTAGATCATGATCTGGAGACTTCAACAGCAGAGTTAAGGGAAAGTGGGGGGGGGGGGTGTCAGCTTTTGTGGCCTGCATCATGCGGGAGGTCAGACTAGATGACCATATTGGTCCCTTCTGACCTTAAAGTCTATGAGTCACAGGGTCTATTACTCCTCGAGCTGGAGTGGACAAGAGTATCACAGGGGGACCAGGGCTGCAGCTGTGAAGAAAGTGCAGATCTCCAGCTCACAACGAACTGAGAAAGAGGAAGCCGTACAAGATGTCAATGCAGAACGGGTAAAGGATTGCAGCTGAGTGCTACATGGAGGAAAGGCGTGCAGGGCCAAACCCACCCTTCTCACTGCCATAGGCTCCAGAGCTCAGGGGACTAGCCCATTTAGGCCTCACCCTGTCCCAAGCCCAGCCGCAATGAAGCCTGTGCTGCAAAGAGATGTAGAAGGGCTAATAACAAGGCAGCTCAGTGGCACCGGTGCTGCTGGTGCTTTTCAGCGTTAATGTAGGAGTAATGAAAGGCAGCAGGTTCCAGCTCAGCGTTGAAGGTATGTCTACACTGCACTTAAACAGCCCTGTGAACCTGAGCTGGGCGCCATAGGCCAGCTGTGGGTTTTTACTTGCCGTGCCGACAGCCCAGCTCTAGGACCCAGCAACCATCTACACGGCAATTAAATAACCCCTTAGTGTCTCATGGTATGTCTCACTGCAGTTGGCCACTCAATCTATCTAGCAATTAGTAGCAGAGGGTTATACAATGTGTGATGACTATCCACACGGCTGGCAAAGCTGGTCTCTGCAGCCCCAGAGCCAGCTAATCAATGAAAGAGCCAGTCTTCTAAAATCTTGAGCTGGAATTGCCAAGGAAGTAGATTAAAAGCACCTCATGCTTCTGAAAAGGGAAGGCTTGACCCTTCGTGGTAGAAGCTGGTCAATGCATAGCCCCACTTCAGACATCTATTAAACCATATTGAGTCACCTAATTCCTGCTAGGTTGGGGGTAGACTCAAACTGTGTTCTTTGCAGCACCTGCCTACAGTTAGGTCAGCAAACAAATACTATCAGAGACACCTCTCCTCACTCATTGTGCCTAGGTTCCCTACTCTTAAATGAGTCTGTGGTTGTACCAGTAATAGCCCTGGGAGAGCAGACCTGGTCTATCTCTGAGTAAGCTTACTGAAGCCATGCTTAGTAATGGGTGAAACTTACCCCCATCTAGAGGGCCTAGGGCTCACAAAGCACCCAGTACATTGTAAATGGTGCTTAGAGCACAGGCTGGCCTGCTGGTGTGTGAATTTCCAACTGGGAGCAGAGTTGTTGTGCACCTCCCACAGAGGCCTAAGAACCCCACTTAACTTTGGTTTTTTTCTCATGATGTGACCATACTTCAAAATCTTGTCCAAAGTTCAAAGAGAATATTGCATCTCTTGCTGTAACCCTCCTCCCCCAGCAAAAAAAAAAAAAAAGGATGTTCCTAGTGTTTTCCCTTCTCTGGGTACTCTATTAAAAGTCCAGAAAGACTTTCCTACCCCCAAGACCTATTTCTGCTTCATACTAGAAACCGATGCAGAAAAGCCTAAGTAAATAGGCAGCCTGAAGGAAAAGCGGTGTTCAGGCTTGAGAAGCCTTTGAAAAGTTTGGACCCCAAAATTGTTTAAAATATTCCCGTTTTCCCTAAAGGAGAGTCATTACTTCTTCCTCAGCCTGCAGCACCTGGCAAGAAAACTGGCCTGTTGCCTTCCCACAGGGAAGCATTAAAGGTGTCCTACAAAGGAACTTGATGTCTGGGTGGTTCTGTGCTGCCCTGAATTCCATCAGGAGCAGCTTGCACAGGGCAAAATGCTATTGCACTAAGTGGTCCTGTGCTCTAGCAGGACATAAATTGCAGAGCTGATCCAATTGAAGCCAGCATGAAAATCCCAAGCCAAAGTGTCATGGGGCCCTAGGGACTTCCTGACCCAGCTGTAAGCAAAACACACCCAATGGTGTTCATCAGTGGCTTTTAGCACACAGGCAAAGAAGGACCACCTCTGGGGATGTGCAGCTCAACCTTGACAGGACATTTGTGCTCACAAATGACACATTTGGGCTGACAGCCATTTTCTAAGATACCTACAGAAAATGCCAGCAGGTTAAGTCTTCTGTATTCATTCCTTACTCTGGCCCTATTCAGTTTATGGCAAGCTTCCGTTTTAGTGGTCAGGCAAGTCTCTACTCTGCTGGCTGTAGTTCTGAGCTGAAGGCAACATTAAGATGTGCATTAGACTCCCACCCTAGGATGGGAGAAAGGTGTCAGTACTGATCCCCATGGTGAAAGGAGCCACTCACCTTTCTGGTGACTTCACCTCTCCCTTCATTTCCCTGGAACTTCAGCCACAACAGCCTTTTTTCTGTCTTTAAAAGAGCATTGGAAGGCAGCTCCTCTCTACCCTTCCTTACCAATGTCACTAGTGCATTCAAACTGGCTGGAGGTGCCAGAGTATCACTGCACCTGCTGGCGCGTGGGGCCACTTTCGCATTTGTCCCTCTGATGAAAGGAAGATTTATCCCTGGACACTGGCCGTTTTTTTTTTTAAAGCCCAACAGCTGTATCAACGAAGATACATTTCTGGGGGAGTCGAATGCGGAGGAGAGGACCAGCCTGAAGGCCACCTACTGAAACAGCAGGGAGGTAATATGATGAAGAAAGGAGATGCTATTTCCAGTGCATGGGGCTGTAGAGTAACAGGCTCCGGGATGAGGTGCACAGATCTCACCATGCACCCCTCTGAACTCCCTTTACATCTACTAAGCTTAACTAGCAGGGATCCAGCGAGCTACTCAAGTCTAAACAGGCACCAGTCCCTTTGAAGGCACAGACACCCCTTTTCCCCCAAACCCCTCACCCACGCTGATGGTCTCATCCCACTGGCTGCAGGAGAGGGAATGGGAAGGGGTTTAGAAAGGAACTGCTCCTTGAGTCTTTGTGAATGGAGACAGCAAACACCAGTTATACGCTCAGATCTTTATTAGGTGGAGTAAGGGCTAAAAAGAAATGAAACTTCTAAAACATTCACCGTACTGGTGCAGGACAGGAAGGACTAATAGCTTCCTCCATCAGTCTTTTTTTAAAAAAAAAGTGGGGAGGGGTAATGAAGTTTCCATCCATTAGCTCTGGGTATCCTGGGCGGGGGCGGCTTGGGGCAAGAAGAGGTACAAGAGACAACTTATACTTTTATTTAAGAAACCGCTACATAGTTTTGCCTCTAATGATGCAAAGGAGGTTCCAGGACACACTGACTGAGCCATCCAAAGTCTCTTGCTAGAGAAACAAAAAACCCTGTCAAATTTTTTTTATTTATTTAAAAATTGTGAAATAAAAAGATGATGCTGCAGCTCGTGGCCACGGTAACAGAACTGTCCACGAGAGTTAGTCTTCCACACCAGAGGCGGTGGGGGGAGGTAGGGGACAAAAGAAGGGAGAGGGCCCACAAAAAACAGTTTAAAAAAGTAACGGCTACATCTGAAAGGAAAAAATCAAACCAACAGGAGACAGAACCCTTGATTTGTCTTTCGGGCCAGGCCTTCCCATCTGCGTTAAATAAATGGGCTCCTTCAACAAAAATGGCACAGTTTGTCTTTTGACAGATTATAAAGCCCTTCAAGCTTAAAAAAAACAAAAACAAAGGAAGATGCCCTGGTGCAGAATGGAAGTGAATAATTAATTCTCCCTACAAAGAAAATAAAACAGGCTGCAAAGATGCAGAAACCACATTTAGGCTCTATTACATTTACAAATACATACATAAATATATTACATACAACAGCAACTCAAAGAGGGAGCGGGCGAGCGCCACAGAAGGATGGCTGGCTGCAGTTCTCCCCGCACAGACGTTTGGCTGAGCAGTTACTTTTTCTCCTAATAGTTCCAGGAATGGGCATCGGCTTTTTCTTCTTTCAGTCTCCCCCTGCCTCCCCCCCTTCCTTGTTTCGTTTTTAGTTTGTCCAGTATGGAGAAGTGCCATAGGCGGTTTTGGTAGCCTGAGACTTTTGCTGCATGGTGCTTGGCTGATTGCGCTGGCCAGATCCACCCTGGAAAGAAATGAAAAGGGAGCACATGTTCAGATCAGAAGCCACCGCGGCTGGATCCCTAATCCTGAAGCCTCAGGGAGCACACTGCATTTATTACCTGGCTGCAGTAAAAGACCTGCCTGCTCCATCCATCCTCTCAGCAGCCCTGGGGCTGCCTTTGAAAGTAGCAAGGTCTATGATAAAGCAGGGAAATGGTGTCCCTTGGCCCCATTCTGGAGGAAGAGTTGGTATTCCAGCATCACGCTGCCCCAGGCCTCACCAAAATCCACAAACAGCCAAAGCGAATCCCACGGGGAACACATGGCAGAAGTGCTGAGTAAGCTCATTTCCACAAGGCTTGCCCCATCTGGAACAAGTCAGCCAGCCACCTCGCTGCCTCTTTTCAGCCAGAAAACATTCTTGCCTGCTGCAGCTGCAGCTGCAGCAAGGAGATGGCTGGGAGCGATCATCTCTTGCATGGAAGAGATTCCTTGAAACTGCACACTGAGGGCATGGCCAGTACCCAGCTTTCTACAGGTCAAGAGAAGAGAATCAAAGCATCTGGATGCTCTGAGAATCATTTTGCCACAACCTTTACAACAACCTGAACCCCAAAGGGAAGAGTCAACTCTGGATGACCGTCATTCTGACTGTGTCACGTGATGTAACTGGCTTTGAGGCCATCCCATATCTGCTTGGAAAACACCAATCTCCACTAGCACTGGTCTTTAGCAGTCAGGAAGGACATGGGCCCAGAGCACAGGTTGTGGTGTCAAGTTCTCTTAGCACCTCAACATGCATTACGGGCAGACACTCAAGCCAAGATGCTGCAGCGTTTGTCCCCTGCTGCCAAGATACTGTCCTGCCTCCCAGAATGCAGACAACCCAGCCCCAATCTAGGTGACTTTCACCACAGAGCAACTAGCCGTTTCCTCAGAAGAAGAGGAACTCGACTCAGCCGAGCAGAACTAGGAGTAACCAAGCTGTCCACGACCTGAAACAAGTCAGCTGACTGAGCGTGGGTGGAGCAGAGACCCCTCTCCCTCTCTGCCTCCTGACCACTCACAATAAAAGTTCTTTTTAAAAATCTTTGATGCAGTCAGCTTGAGACTTCCCCAACCAGCACCCGAGCGACCTCCTCTCTTGCTGATCATCTGTTAACCAAGATAACCTAGGAGGACAAATCTGAGGCCTAGGACAGTTGGGGTCACTGTGGTGATGGTGGGGGGGGGGGGTGAAAGACTTATTAAAGCCTACCTAATCATTGATAGAGTAGTCTATCAAAGGAACAGGGCTGCCTTCCCTCAGTGCCCTCTGGGAACACTCCAGTTCCGTGAGTCTCTTAGGGCAGAGGAACAAAACACATTCCCCACCCTAAAAAGAAAGGTGTACCCCAAACTCAAACAGGCCATGATTGGCCCATGATCCAGGAAAATCATCCAAGTGGCTGACCCCAATGCCAGCCAACTCTAGATCAAGAATGTGACCAGCTGCATGACCTGAACTAAGTCCATGATTTCTCTGGCTAATAAGCCACACTGCAGAAAACTAATTGGAAGAGGCATGTAAAAACAAGGAGAGTGAAGGAAAATGGTCAGAAGTTGGATGGGCAAAGGAGATCCCTCCAGGGACACCAGGGTGCACAGGCGTAAGACATCAGGCACATCCAGGGACAGGGAAACAATTTGTTATGTTCAGACTCAAAGCAGAACTTCGCATATTTTTCAAGAGACATTAACAGAGATGAAGGGAAATGAACTGGCCAGAGAAACTGAATGCACAACCACCAGAGATACTAGGGAAGCTGGCGAGGGGGCTTATTTTGCTGCTAGCTGTATTTCTTTTATTGTCACAGAACAATTATGATGGTTGTAAACATCTCCATGACCTGCCCAGGAAAGGAAAGTGGCAGTCTCTGCTGGCTGCTAGAGCTGCCTGCCTCTGCACTGAGATTGTGTGCACCAAGGGGGAAACTGCCACAAAGCCATGTTAGCCTCTTGGAAACAGCATCTCCCCCACCCTACCCAAGGCTACATGGCAGTTTAGGCTGTATTACCTAGCGAGGTACTTTGCCAATGGGCAGAGCCAAAAGGAACAGGACAGAGTACCTGTGATGGGTGGGATCAGTTTGGACACGCTCTCTGGCTGATGGTCATCTAGTTACTTTGAGCAGCAGCCTCAGAAAGGCACCAGGGATTGATAGACTCACCTGCCCATCTTGCTGAAGGTGGTGATGCAGCATCTGGGAATGAGGCTGCTGATGTGCAGGCAGGATATGCAGGAACGGGGCTGGAGCATAACCTGGGGCAGCACCAGGGTTCAATGGCCCAGTGGATCCAAGAGCAGATGGCAGGCTGAAAGGAGGCGGTGTGCCGGCATGGAATCCCTGCTTGTCAAACGTCTGCATGGAGGCAACAGGGAAGCAGTTAGACACTTTCCTCAGCGCCCTTTGGGTGACCAAACAGGGCAAGAGTCGCCTGAACAAAGAGAACTTTAACTCTTTACCAACCCAGATCCACTTTAGCTGGATATTTACAATCAGGTGTTCCCTTTCCTCTTAAAGGCACACTGCTGTGCTGCCTGGAGTGAATCGGCTGACTTGGCTATCAGTTGCCCACTGCCATTTCACTTTCTCTGACCTATTTGTTTGTCCTAAGACTGCAAGCTCCTCAGAGCAGAAGCCATTCTTAAGTGTTTAGAAAGTCCCTAGTACATTGTGGGTACGACCACAACCAAGCAGTAATTGCCCGCGACCCAAGATTCAATGATCCATTGACAGACACTAAATGACGCCTGTTGTTAACAGTAGAAGATGGCCTCTTGGCTTCCCCATAGGCAGGAAATTCATGCACATTCAATACAATGCAGCAGACCAGCAAAAAAACAAGTAGTTCTTAGCAATCAATTTGCTCATCACAAAGTCAGGAAATATTCAAGCCAGTCAGGGCTGCTCAGTAAAAATGGCACAAGAGGTCACAGCAGGAGTTTTGCTTCAAGTCCCCAACCCCTCATGTCTGGTGCTGAGCAGCAGACTTGAGGCCCGGGTGCCTTTGTTCAGAGAGTGTACAGCCCCGCTCATCAGAAATGCAGGAGCAGATCCCGGGGACACAGAAATACCTATATGGATCCCCACCCCAATGCCCTTACAAAAGGGCGCAGGGATTCCACGCTCCAGAGAGTGGAATAGGGAACTAATATTTAACCCCATTCATTCCACAGCTTCTCAAAGGGAGACTAGCTGCACCACAAACAGCCAGAAGACAACAGCACTGGGTGGAAGACGCAGTGATCTGGTATCAATCCGCATACAGCCCAGAAGGAACAGAGGAAGTCAATGGCCATAATTATAGACCTGTGTTTGTCCACACAGTCCAGCCTCTCTCGAGATGATGCTATGGCCCTGCGTTTAGGACAATGCAGCCCTAAAACATTTGTGATATTGCATTTTAAAAGCATCTCAGGACTCAACGGAAGTTAGGCAATAATGCGGGAATCTTTGCTTCCACATTAACAGCCTTTGTCATGAGTCAGCCTGGCAAGAGCAGGCTAAGGATGGAAAAGAGCAGTGGTGTCAAATGAGACACTTGGAAGTCCTCTTTAAAATCAAGTGGAGTGAGTGCTGGAGAAAGGCCAGAGTCTGGGATTACCCCGTGGAATGGGGCTGAGAAATCACCAGCGGCCAAGAGGCTCCCTGAGAGGACGAGTCCTGCTGAAATGACACTGGCCAGTGACCCTTGGGCACAGGAGGGAGGAGGGCATGTTCATGCTTCTCAGAAAGAATGGGCCATAGCTCCTCACCTGAGTCTTGTTATAGACTGAGCCACTGATATCAGGCACACCTGTGTTACTTGAGGTCACAGAAACACCTGGAAAACAAAAAGCCGCTGACAACGAAAGAGCCGAAGGCAACCCAACCTGAACCTTCCTTTTCCTTGCTCCTGGGATCCCCATCATGTTCATTGGCTGTTGCCTGCATCCTCTGTGTCACCCCCCCACACACACACACTATATCAAATGAAGCTACTCCTGGCTGGGGTGTGCCGTTCCCTCCCATGCCATCCCAGCCCCTCTACAATTCCCCACATTAGGAGTCAAAAGAAAGTGCAAAGGCCTATTTCCTGAGCTCCCTTTATAAATCAGGCGCGAGACCACTGGTGTACGCTGCCTGTGCCCACTATCCACAAGCTTCATCCCCATTCCTAAGGCACCAAGCTGGGTAGTACCTAGGGCACTGACGGTTCATTTAGATCAAGAGAAGTCAATGTTCCCCTCAAATTCGGGAGCACGTTAAAAGACACTGCGTGGTTCCCTGGTCCACAGCGGCTGAAGCAGCTAGCGTGGCAGGATCAGAACCAAGCAGGGGATTGATCACCAGCTGGGAGGTGGCCATTCGTTCCCAGTCTGAACTAGAATCATGGCTCCCAACCTGAGCCGTTTCACTTACGCAAGAAACAAAGATCAAAGTCTCTAGCCGATGAATGAAAGGATTGGGCTGGCTGGGTTTCCACTGCTCTCAGACATGTGAATAACAAGGCTGAGGATATAGGTACCGAGCAGCTGGTCTGAGGAAGATTTTTCTGGCCAGTATTTACTTAGGTTAGGGTTGGATTAGTTGGTGCCAGGGGGTCACTGTACATTTCTCACATGGTCCCACTAGCATCTGCAGAATTTAAGCTTTCATATAAAACAAATCAATGTTCTAGCCCGTATGCTATGCAAAGAAAGCATTCCAGGTATGAATGGATGCTATCAGTGATGGAGTCTCCAGAGAGCCTGAAACACTAACTCAGAGAGCTGTGACTTGCCCCCTTCACCTCAAAGGGTGTTGATTCTGGAGCCTGGTGACCATTTCAGCAAAGAGACAGCTGCTCTGGGATCAGGGACCTAGCGTCAGCGGAGTGCCACTATCCCTCCACCACATCTGAACATTAGCTTCCAGCTGGCAGAGGTAACGGTTTGCTGTTTCTCCTCTGTGTAACTGAACAAAGCTGGACTTCAGCCACTCACCTCCTTACACAAATTCAGCCACTGGCTTAGAAGGAACGTTTGGAACATTAAAAGCATTTTGAACGTGAGAGATGGAGAAACAGCTTGGGACTCACCCTATTTGAGAGCTGGTCGTCATGCTGACCTGACACTGGGAATACTGGGAGTTTGCCCTGCAAGATCCCTGATCTGAAGTGCTTATGTGCACCTCAGATCCCTTTATTTGTTACCTTTCCCAGGTCCAGTGCCAGCAGATTTGTTTTGTGCTTGAGATGACCCACTGTAGCCTCCTTTGCTGTAGTCTCCAGCCGCCGTTCCCTGCGTTAAGTCATCATAGCCTGCCAATGTGGACAAGACATGGTGTGACAGTGAGCAAGCAGCTCTGAGGACATTAAATTAAATGGCACAGATGCACTGTCCACTGGAGTAACCTTACCTGCTCCATAACCATGTTGTCCATAACCACTTGCCTGCTGAAACGGGGTGGAAGCGGTGTTCAAATTGACGCCATGCTGCTTGGCTGATGCTGGAGGTACCTGGAGGCAAAGGGCACTCTCAGTTAGAAAACAGCATAAAAGCCAGTTTCCACTGCCATCTAGTGGGGAAGCTCATCCCATGGCTCTGCTGGCCTCACTGCGCTGCATCTCCCAGCTGTGAAATAGAAGCCTTTAAAGTGCCAGGAAATCCTGGATTCCTTTCCCAGTACCTCCGAGCAGTGAGATCTAGCGCTCTGAGCACAGGACTGGGAGCCAGGACCCAGGAGTTCTACTCCAACTTCCAACCTTGACTGCTGTATAGCCTTGTGAGAGAGAGACAGTTTACCCCTCTTGTAAAATGAGGACAGTATCTTCCAAGCTTGGATACATGATAACTTTGCTCTGTAATTGCTAGGTAATCTCCACCCCAAGGAACATGCATGTTTTATACATTTATAAAACCAACAGTGAACAATGAATTCACTCAAGCATCTGGAGATCACAAACTGGAGTCACCCAAACACACCGGTGGGATTACAGCCCCATAACTCAGGGAGCCTGGTATTTATTTTGTATAATAAAAATGTACAAAGCCTGGATCCAAGCCCTGTACAGACTCTGTCTGCACTTATCCCTCTACCTCCTTCTCCTCCCCCGGGGAACCCCTTGCCTCCCAGTCTCCCATTGGTGTCCCATAGCCTCTTCCCCCTAACTGATTTCTCCAGCCTCTCCCATGCCACTGACTCAGCTTCTGCCTCCCTCTCCAGCGGCCATCCTGGGCTGCTAGAATACAGTTGGGCTCAAATTTGTAATTCCTGGATGAACCATCACCTCCCCCCGCCAACCCCAAACAGTTTTTGACACTGATCAACATTCTCTGCTGTAGCTCTATACCACTCACCGTTGCCTACATAAAGTTAGAATATTACAGTCCTGGCCTTTTAAAGTTCCTCCAGTCCTGCACGGACACTGTTGTTTTACACGGAAGCCACAGAGCGGATGACAAACTTGGAGGTCAAGCTTTAACGTTGCTTGCCAAGTTGCCATACAAAAGAAGAAGTTCCATGCATAAGCTGAGCCTTATTTCACCAGAAATGCCCTGCAGGACTGGGGGCGCTTTAAAGGGCCAGGACTGCACTAGGCAAAGCTAGAGAAGCACAAAGAGGGCAGCTAACGGTGTAAGGTTTAGTTCCCATGACTTACAAACATGGTGGGCCCATACTGGAATGCACTGGGTACTCCTGGCACGCCGGCGTAATATGGTAACCCCGTGTAGCTGTATCCTGGGGGCAGCGTAGGGTTTAGGAAGGGCTGCTGAGTGGTATGGTGCGTCTGCGTCTGATTCTGCTGCGGCTGGGCCAGGGTGGTAGCGGGAGCAGGGGAGGCAGAATCCCCGCGGCCAAATTTTGTTACATCACCTGCAAGAAAAGCCATCAACTGTTTCAGGAGGGTTGTTTCCCATCCTTTGCTTTCTCAGCTCTCCAGCACTGGCAAAAACTGTCAAGGGATGGGCTTGTGCTACAGTCCAGAGGGTGAGAGAGTTTAGTGGTGAGAGCATGGACTGAGTCTCAGGACTCCTGGGTTCCACTCCAGCAACTCATTGCGCGACCCTGGCCAAGAGAGAACTCTCTGTGCCTCAGTTATCCCACTGACAAAATGGAGATAACAATACTTACCTGTCGCACAAGGGGATTCAGCCACTGAGTGTTAGATCATTACATGAAATGTACTATAAAGCATAAGGTCTGAGGGGCCAAACAGCAAACAGTTCATTGGGTTAAAGTATCACTCTCCCAGAAGTTAACCTGGCTAGCAACATCTCCTGGGCTAAAGGAATGAGGGCCTTTGACAAAAACATGCAAGTCACTGCAAGGTCTCTATTTGCCAAGCATGACCAATTAGATCTCTGGTTCCTCACAGCACCAGAGCTCTGGAGACAGTAGATAAAGGCCAGGAAAGCCAGGCTTGCATCTGAGGCCAACTAATTAAAAATGTAGGAAGGGAAATTTGATTAGTAGCCCAGAAGAGGCTTTCTAGTAGCGCCGGGCAATCCGAACAAGAAACCTAACCACACTAGTGTCCTGGGGACAGCCTCCAAGGTAGCGCGCTCATCAATTTCTGGGGGTGTGGAGGCAAAGATCCTGTAGGTGCCAGCACAATACAAACAATAACAATGGAATGGAATGAAGTCAGAGAGGCAGTTAGAGAGGTCTGAAAGGGTCTAACCAAGAGTAACAGATGGACACTGAGCAAAGGAGGCTGAATACCAAGAAGAGGAGTTATTAGGCTGCAGATACTTTCCCAGGAGCAAAAGTTCTATCAGTTGAGTCATCTAAACCCAGACACAGCACCAAAAGGAACAACCTTGTATTGGCTTTGGGATGGACTACAATTCGGAAGTTAAATCCCTCTTTCGTATGACAGGACTTGTGTATGGAGTAGATATTGGCTGAATATTCCTGTTAACATCTTAAGGAAATCAGTTGTCAGAAGCTGAAATGTAGCCACTTACGATTCCTGCTCTTGTCTGACTAGTTTGGACTGGCCGGCTAAGCTGCCTGCAGAGAGAAAGCCAGGATTGCTCCTTTGGCCATAGCAGCACACCCTATGTTCAGAAACCAATGCTTCTATTCAACCATCATCCTCATCTTCAATTAGTACTAACCTGAGTATGGGTTGTTAGCAAGGCTCCCATCTCTGCCTGTCAAGGTTGCAGGAGCAGGGAATGTAATTCCATAATAATCCTGAAAAAGACAATATTTATTAATACACAAATGCATAACAGCGCCAGCCTGTTTTATGAATGCTGCCTTGTATGCATGCAAAGGTTCACGAAAGCAGAAGATTCCCAGCAACACTGGGACAGAGTGAATGGGTTTATTTTTCCCTCCTGCCAAACGTGCAAAATCAGGGAAGCATGGACAGAAACTTATCCAGGCAGGCTGTGGCAGAGCTGAAGATTTGGAGTGGCAGCCCTTGAATCCCCAGCTCTACATAATGCCTGTTTCTTAACACATTTAATGATTTCTTCTTAAAAAACATTCCTCAGCTGGTGACAAGTGTTCCAGCTCTGTAACACAAGCACTGCTGTAGAAAACCCCAGACACTAGCTAAGAAATGGTGCAAACATATATTAAAATGACCAGTGAGGGAGTTGCTAAAGGGGCACAATCAGTGTTACCATCCCAGATGGAGGATATAAGAACACAAGAATGGCCCTACTTGGTCAGACCAAAGGTCCATCTAGCCCAGTATCCTGTCTTCCAACAGTGGCCAATGCCAGGTGCCCCAGAGGGAATGAACAGAACAGGTAATCATCAAGTGATCCATCCCCTGTCGCTCATTCCCAGCTTCTGGCAAACAGAGGCTAGGGACACCATTCCTGCCCATCCTGGCTAATAGCCACTGATGGACCTATCTTCCATGAATTTATCTAGTTCTTTGTGAACCCTGTTATGGTCTTGGCCTTCACAACATCCTCTGGCAAGGAGTTCCACAGGATGACTGTGCGTTGTGTGAAGAAACACTTCCTTTTCTTTGTTTTAAAGCTGCTGCCTATTAATTTCATTTGGTGGCCCCTAGTTCTTGTGTTATGAGAAGCAGTAAACAACACTTCCTTATCTACTTTCTCTACACCAGTCATGATTTTATAGACCTCTGCCATATCCCCCCTTAGCCGTCTCTTTTCCAAGCTGAAAAGTCCCAGTTTTATTATCTCCTCATACGGATGCCGTTCCATACCGCTAATCATTTTTGTTGCCCTTTTCTGAACCTTTTCCAATTCCAATATATCTTTTTTGAGATGTTTAAATTATTCCTATTACAGTAGCACCTAAAGGGTCAGGACCCCGCTGCGCTAGGTGCTGCAGACTCAGAATAGAAGCTGATCCTTGCCCTGTCCCAGACAGTTTATAATCTAAAGACAGGACTCACAAGCAGAAAGACACACAAGAAGCACTGTGTAAATTACAATTTTTACCAACTCTCTGCCCCTCCATAACAACCCCACCAGCAGCCCCACTCCAGGTTTCTCGGCCAACCTGCACTCTCACAGTCCACCCAAAAAGCCCTCCGCCCACCCCACTGTGCTGTGTTCCCGCAGAAAGAGATTAACTTTAGTCTGGGGAAAGGAAAAAGTTTGACAGCTGCTTCCAGATGCTCCTCCATCTCCCCCATCCTACCTACAAGATGCCTATGCATATGTAACCGAAAACTCCACTAGGCTGTTTTGCTCTCAGAGTTCATGCCTCCTGGTTCTCCTCACCCCCAAGCCTGCCCTTCAGGATTACAGCTTGACAGGCCCCTTCTTGCCACTGAATGGATTTGCTTCAGATTATTCCCACACACACCCCGACACCCTCCCCAATATATTAGCTTGCACTTTTCCATGCTGAGAAAGGATTTTTCCCCACATTTCTAATTTCTCTGTTCCTTCGTATCACACACATCTGTCCTCATTTGGGCTCCCGGCACCTCCTAATTTTGTATCATTTGTGACTGTCATGAACATGCTCTCCACACCCTCTTCTCCATCACTGAGGAACTCTCAATAAGACAGAATTTAATAGATCCCTACAGTACCAACTGCACACCTTCCTGCAATTTGATCCATTGCTATTTATCATCCTTCGCTTACCAATCTTCCAGCCAGTTTGTAAGCACATGCGACAGTGTCATTTCCAAGCCAATATGAATTAACTTTAATGAGAGACCACCAAATCCTCTGCTAAAATCCCAACATATTATGTCAAATTAAAGTGATATTTACCCTGACCATCTCTCTCCAAGAGAAACAACAGAAACAGTTTCAAGGGAAATCTGAAAGGTGCTAGGTCAGAACTTACATTCCATATATCCCTTGGGGTCAGTCACCTTTCTAAATGAGGTGGACAACAAATACACACTCACACCTGTATGAGGACAACTCTGTGGAATTAGATTGGGAAGGATGTTACATCCCATTGTCTTTCACACCAATTAAAGGAAAATCCAGATTCTCCTCCCTCTCCGACTAGCCCCATGAAAAAAGTCACAGGAGAAACAGCACAAATATCCCACGAGGAAAGTGTGAGGAGTTTACAAAGCAAATCCACATTCACCCACATGTGAGTGTGAGGGGGGCACATGTGTTTTTGTTCTTAGAAACAGTTCAGGCATTATGTTGTTGGCTCCACAAAATGTGGGGTTTGATGTGCCATTGATGAGAGCCAAGTCCCCGCTATCACAAAGCAGACCCTACAGGTCTGATATCAAGGTTACATAAAGGGCTCAAACACAGCTATGGAGCAGCAATGCAGTTACCCAAGAAGACAGAGCAATTCAGTAGGTAAATAATGGAGCAATGCTACCTAATCTGGGAAAGGCTGGCCTGATGCTACATCAGTGACTATTAAAGCAATCACAATAAACTTATTCCAATGGCATCTGACCCCACCAATCCCGCAAGATATTATAGAGAAACCTTTGTATGCATACTGGAGATATGTAGGTGGGTGTGGAGAAGGGGCACGTTCAGAGCTGGTGGGAGCACCCCTATGTCTAGACTTAGTGCTCCAAAACCGTAGAAATGGTTAAGAAAGTCAGGGGCACGGAATTGCTTGCCTCCCCTCTGCTAGTCCTGCTGGCCCTAAAGTTTACCATCACGTCTATTATCCCAGGGAGTTGTATCAAGGTGGAACTCCAGAGAGGAACCGTCCCCCCCACCCCAGGCTTGGCAGGAGTTTGTTATGCTAATGCTCACAGATGATGAAAGACAGGTATATAGTTTGCTCCTCTTTCTAATCTAGACATTTAACTGCATGACTCACACAAAAGCAAAACCTAAGCCACACTAAGCCATTTACTTCAATATAATGCATTGTAGTCTTCTTGGGTTGCTATTACTGCAGGGATCTGTGATTTATCCACGATCTCTCTGTGTAACAACCATTTGACCGAGTGAGGGTTGGGGACTGTCTCCTCTCAGTTGCCCCCATTATGTCTAGTTTACAAATGTGCTCTTTAAAAGGACATTAAGAACAGTAGCTTAAACCCCATCCATTTTAATACAAATTCTTATTTGTTTCCAATATGCTTATTTAAGAAAAGAATTTTAAAAATCATTTACTTTTCATCATCTATGATGATCACTTTTCCCCTTCCCAAGTTTCTACAGTGAGCTCTCAATTTCACTTTTCTTTTAGCCAGTTTCACTTTCTAGATCTCATGAACTGTCACACTGCAGCAAAGCTTGGGCTGCAAATGCCACAGAGGGGAAGTTTTAAATCCCCATGAAACAATTTGTTTGGAATTAGTTTTTACGAAGGTAAATGCAGCAGAACCCCATTTATCAGATCTTACTGGGACCGGGGCCAGACTGGATCATCAAAAATTCCGATAATCCAGAGAATGGGAAAGTGGTAGGCTGCAATGCCATCTAGCGGCCACAGGAGAGGTCTCCCGCTTCTGGACCTGCGTGTGCTGGTTGTTCGGTTAATACGGAGAGCCGGAATGAAGGGTCAGATAAATGGGGTTCTACTGTATTCAATATATTTTATAAAGATAAGGAGGGTGAGATAATATCTTATTGGACCAACTTCTGTTGGTGAAAGAAAGAAGCTTTCACTGTGTAAGCTCAAAACCTTCTCTCTCATCAAGAGAAGTTGGACCTGACCTACCTTCTCTCTCTACTATCCTGGGACCGATATAGCTACAACAACACTACATACAACATATTTTATAAGACATTTAAAAAGAAAGCCTACAATTTAGAGCCTGAAACACCTGACAGTAGTCCTTTAGCTACAAAGAAAATCTCCCTGGACTATCTTGAATATTATATGTTCATACTGTGTTCCACCAGCCTACTATTAAACATATTTCAATTTAAAAGTAGGAATTTACAGAGGTAGAATGTAACAGCCTCATTCAGAATCTGGCCAAAAACCAAAAGGATATCACCTCAATCCTTTGTAGAGGTTACTTCAGGATTTGTAATGACCTCAAATGGTCAACACATTGGTTTTGCAGCTCATCTGAAAGGCAGCATTGCCAACAGTACAATGACCCTGAGACACTATATATACACACTCAGACACTGGTGCAACAGAGACTCAAAGGGAAGCGCACCACAGTGTCCAGACTGGGCCCAGCAAGCACTGAGACAGGCCCCCACACTTTCCACAAGAGTAATAATTACATTCTTTCCACCACGGGGCCTCCTCCAAGCAAGGTCTTCTAATACCTAGGGATGAACCTGACACCTACTGAATCACCAACAGCGCTCCCTACAGAGCGCTCAGATCTCTTCAAAGATCTGGAATTCCAATACCAATACCATGTATCCCTGCTCAGCTTCAGAGTTTGACAGGTACGAAGGCTGCAGTCATATGTCTATGTCACATGCCTGAAAGAATTCAGATTTCCTATTGAAAAAGAACAAAACTGTATGGAAAATTCTTGGGGTTCAGGAGTCAGAAATAATTGGGGTTCCACAGTCAAAGAGAACAGACTCATTCAGATCTGAAAGATTCAGCACCTTAGGCTATATTACTATGATTAAGAACCCTAGTGCCTGAGCTGTTTAAATATTTCAGAGCGTAGTTTAGCAGTACATGCTGCACAGAGCACACAAAGGTCAGAGGGGGGTCACCCAGGGTCTCTAATAATGCTGCACAGAGAGGAGATGTTTAACATCCCCTGGGGGAAACATGGACATTGGTATGGAAGTCTCAGAAGACACTTAAGTCACCAGTTGGAAAGTGAAAATGAAAACAGGGAAATTTTAGAGAATCAAAAAATGATGAAAGGAACAACATCCCACCAAATAAATACAGGGACATGGAAGGCATGCACAGTAGACCGCAGACATCTAACAAGCTACAAGAACTCTGGCATAAGCCGTGTGAAACGTTATCATCATGGCTACCAAGTCTCAAGGATTCCTGTGGCAGATTTGCCTGGTACTGCTGTTCTCCGCTGGAGTCATGTCGCTGGACTGTAACCTGCTTCGTCACCAGCAAAACAAATTTAACAGGTACAGTCTACAACTGCTGCAAAACATGGGTGGGAAGTTTCCTTTGGAGTGTCTGGAAGACAAGACAGCCTTCCAGTTTCCTGAGAAGGTTCTGAAGCCCAAATTTCAACAACATGCCAAGATGGCCATCCATGAAATTCTCCAGCAGCTCTTCGGCATCTTCAGCGGGAACCTGACCCAAACTGGCTGGGAAAGAAGAAACGTGGCGAGGTTCCTAAATGGGCTCGCTCTGCAGACGGAACGCCTCGAGACATGCCTACCTACAAAGGCCGGGGCCAACATTCTGAGACTGAAGAAATACTTCCAGAGGATCCAAGATTTTCTTAAGGAGAAGAAATACAGCACCTGTGCCTGGGAGATTGTCAGAGAGGAAGGGCAGAGGTGTTTTCAATATATTGACAAGCTCACAGTTAGGATGAAAAAGTAGGCGACAAACATTTTACTATGAACATTTGAGAAGTTTGGGGGGAGCAGGAAACCATCTGACCTCAAGCTTAAACTCTAATATGGACTTTGTGACCCTTTTCAAGTCAATGTATTTGACTCCGTTTGCCATCGGTAAAATGGGGATTATACCATAAACTTCAGCAGGTGGGGCTGATTGTTTAAAATGCTCTGAAGAGGAAAAAAGCTACAGAACTATATGAATGTACTTCATGTACTGTGTACGAAGTCTCATCCAAAAGCTAAGAAATATTTTAGAGGCCAAACACAGGTGGAGGGGAAAAATATTTTGCAATTGTTATTTATTTTCTTTATGCATTGTCAAACTTATCCTGATTGTGGGAATGGAGACTGTCACATCTATATTTATATATTTATAACTATTTATTTTCTTTGTGCATTGTCAAACTTATCCTGATTGTGGGAATGGAGACTGTCACATTTATATTTATTTATTTATATATTTAAAATAAAAGAATGGCTAAAAAAATTGAGGAACTGGTTGGAATGACTGTAGTCTGTTGCATATGCTCTTGTGAGCCTCACATAATGTTTATGAGCTGAATGTAACTTGTATTGATCTAAGGCAGTGATACTCAGACCTCAGTGATTCAAGGAACCAAATTAGTGATTAACATTACCCAAAAGAACCGCAGTAGGGTGAATTCACTGTTTCATTTACTATATATATATAAAAATAAAATTCTCACAGCAAAATGAATGACCAAGTATTATTTTATCAATTACAATTGCTTAACAACATTGTAAAAGCATCCTGATTGGTTAATTAAATCACACTCTTTTACTATCATGTGCTACAAAGCCGCAGGAGACACATTAAAGAGCCACTTGCAGCTTGTGAGCCTCAGTCTGAGTATCACTGATCTAAGGAAGGACACAGAAGACAGACACAATATGATCTGACCGGAAATAATAGTTTTCAGGGAAAACAAAGGTAGGGCAGAATCATAATGGATGGAAATTGGAAGCAAAATTAGAGACTTCTTGGATATCACCAGATCCACAAGGGGTGAAAGATGTGTGAAAAATCAGGTCGTGAGTCAAAAGAGGACAAGCATTGCCAGGGAATGCAACAGGGTGTTCTTTAGCTATGCTGAACATAAACATTTTACATTATTTTTAAAGACTCTTCCCATACTCAGACCAAGATAAGGAGGACACAAACAGAAGCCAAGATGCTATGGTTAGTTGGGCTCTGGGTCCTGTAGGAAAGGCTCTCGGGGTGCCTTTTCATGCTGGTTTGTTTGAGGGAATCCCCACCAGCAGAGATCAAGGGAAAGGAAAAAACCCCATTTCTCCATTTTTGCTAAGCCCCTGCTCTGGGACCCATGTGTGCATGCAATATGAATGAAACGTGAATTCTCTGGTTTTCCTATCCATTGCTGGAACATTTTAATATTTTAACCCTAGAATCATAGAAGATCAGGGTTGGAAGGGACCTCAGGAGGTCATCTAGTCCAACCCCCTGCTCAAAGCAGGACCAATCCCCAGACAGATTTTTGCCCCAGATCCCTAAGTGGCCCCCTCAAGGATTGAACTCTCAACCCTGGGTTTAGCAGGCCAATGCTCAAACCACTGAGCTATCCTACCCTGCCCTTCCCCAGGGGAAAGAAATTAGTGTCCTTGGCTCTCTTTCCCATATTTAAAAACAGGTTTTGTTCACCCATGAGATACACCAAGCTTTGTTTCCTGGCTTGTAGGACAGTTCAATCTAACAGAGAGCTTAGGCCCAGATGACAATAAGTTTGAATATGGTCTTTGTGTTTGCCAACTTCCTGGATGTTTGGAAGCTGGGCAAGTCAGGAAGCCACAAAACAGCAGACAATGATTATTCTAAGCTGTCCAGCGCCTCCCAATTGCATGCGTTTTCCACATATTACTAAAGAAAGCACGTAATTGCCTTACAAGGCTTCACAGCTACTAAGAGCACAGACGAATACATTCAGTGTCCATCCTTTGGCCTTCCCCTTGTTTAGTCCCAATGCCTGGTGATCCCAGCAAGAGGACTGTAGTCTCCTGGCAGTCTATTCCTCTCCCCACCTGGCCGCAGGAGCACCACCAAGCCCTCTTCGCCAGACACCCACTTCTTGGAACGGTTGCCACAGGCAGTCTGGCTCGGGGCTGCTGGTTGTAAGGGGGGTCAATACAAGGGCAGCTAAACTTTCTTGCCTGCTTTCCCCCCCAAGTCTGAAAATGTAATTCGAACCCCCCAATTATTTCACTGATGTTGTGACGCATGAGGCTTGATGTGAAAGATGTCACTACCCCTGGAAACCTTGGTGAGCAGCCAGCTCCCCTTCCTGACTAAAAACCAAACCCTGCCTCAATCTGTCTTACAACTATCTGCACCACACTCGCCCCCATCCTCTCGATGCTGAAAGAAGGACAGGAAACTCCCCCAATCCTCTCTGCACAACCCTGTCTTGTGACTAAGAGGGGGAACAGCGGCACTCTTGCTCTGTCCTTTTGGTCTTTCCTCTGTCACCTCTGGTACGCTCTGCTTTCCTGAACAGGCCGACATTTACAGTACAACAGCACTGCCATTTTCAGTTGGGGCTCCACTTCTTGCGCCTCACTGATCGTCACAAGATTCTTGTTGCTGCTCAGGCAGATGTTCACTCTCAATCCCAGCAACAGATGATCCAGACCCACAGCCCAAGAACCCAATGTGAAATTTAACACAATCTGGCCAATTTCACCACAGCTCGGAATTAGCAACAGACACAAAACCCGCCAGATTCTCTTATACCTACCAGAGAAGGTTTCCCCACTCACCGATAAGGAGCGCACTTTAATTTCTGTTCCATTTGTGATGTGGAAAAAGGAGAGGGATCCCTGAAGAGGAATGGGAAGGGGAGTGGAAGGGAGTGTGTGACATAAAATGGATGGTATAGCTCAAATGTTAGGACCTCCAAGACCCACTGGTCTGTGGTTCCTGGTGAAAATGGACAAGGTAGTCCCCAAAGGGAAGGAAGTGGGCTAAAAGGCACAACTGTACATCCAGAGGAGTGGGAGGATTTGAACCCCTGACCAACCTATCAAAACTGCTGTTTAGATGACACCTGGATGGTCATGGAGGGCAGTTGGGCAGCTATCTTCCTCTGAAATCTCTCCCTCTTTCTGAGACCTTCCCAAGGTCTAGGATACCCCAACAACTGAGTAGGGCATGACCTCTGGGCACTCTGAAACTACTGAAACGTTTCTTGCTCGTAGGTGTGTCCAATGCCCAGGGAACACAGGGCAGCCCTGGAACCCTTCAACGTGTGCCGGGAGTCATTCATTGTCTCTGAGAAGGAGAAATCCTCTACTGTGTTTTGAACCTCTCTTGGAAACCCTGAAAGTTGGAGCCATGACATCCTGAGCATAACTACCCCGCTATGGAGATAGAGCTGGCAGCAGTGCCTACAGCATATAAAGGACACTTGGAGAGCCATTCTGGCCAACAACTCCATAACTATGGACTGGAATTGCTCCTCACAGTCATGTGCCAGCTTTCAATAAAGGCTGCAAGCCTGTTGTAATTAGTCAAGTAGTATTTGGCTATGACCGCCTGATAGTTTGTGATCCGGAACTGCAGGGTTGAGGACAAGTATGACTTTCATCCAAAGAGATCCAGCTGCTTTTGGTCCTTGTCATGAGGGTAGAACTTGAAAATTGCTGCCTACCCCGTTCATTCACTGCACTCACCCCTTCCTGCATACCAACCCCAATTTTGTGAGCATTCATGGCCCACCATACAATTTCTATTCCCCGATGTGGCCCTCGGGCCAAAAAGTTTGCCACCCCTGACTTAGATCGATCTCCCCACGTAGTGTAGACATGGCCTGAGATGAGGAGGCTTAAGTCATGTGTGAGGGCTGAACGGTCACTGCTAGCTAGAAATCTCCAATCAGGGGCTCGAGAGGCGCATGCGCACCGGAAGTGGAGTGGCAGTAGGTGTGTTACTCGAAGAAGAACCTTAAGGAACTTAAACCTTCTAGGTAATCGCACTGAAAGGAGATACTTGAGCAGCTAGAATACATCAGCATCTTCAAGGAAGTAGGACAGACTCAAGGGAAGCTCTTAAAAATCACCATAAACTGAAGTGGTTTCTCCTGGGCAGAAGGACTACAAGATTAACTCACAGTGAAAGCAAGCCATTTGGTTCATTTACTTACCATTGGCAGCCTGGATTGGAGCATCTGAAGATCGTCATAACCATAGATCTGCTTGAAGACAGATAAAAATACAACAACGTTATAACACTTTTCTCTAATATTGGCCAATTTGGGGGTTTTAAGACAGATTAATCTAGACTCAGCCTATTTTAAAAACACCAGGCTATCATAGATCTTGTACTATCAAGATATATATAATTCTGTTTCCAAGGGCTAGCGCAGTTAAAGTTTGGTTGACATATCAATTACAAATCCTCATTTTCCATGGTCATTAGCACTCTGAGATTTGAAGTCTGAAGACTGTGTAGTCAGTACAGTTCTCAAGGGCACACAGTTTACTGGAAACAACCACAAGACATTCAGAGCTAGGAGCTAATCAACCTTCTTAACTGCATTGTTTGCTATTACTGCTCCCTGGTACACGGTGCTCCAAGATTCAGTGAACAGGCCTTAAAGTTTGCAAGATACAATCGTTCATTTCTAGGTTAGAACTGAGGAATGACTATTCCCTCCCTTCGGTGAAGAAGGAAACGAACTAGTGGTAGGCCAGAGCGTCCAACTGAGAAGACTGGACTGTGCAGCCACTGAGATGAAGTCTGTTCCAAAGCATGCTGACATCTATCTGAAAATACAGGTGACAGGACACGTGGCTGGTTTTGAGTACAGCACGCCCAATCCATCCCAGAAAGTCAAACATTTAACTCAAATGATTCTATTTCAACTGAAACGGCCTAATACTGATCCCATTAAAGTCCATGGCAAAACTCCCATTTTTCAGTGGAAGCAGAATCAACCCCGTAATCAAGGATTTTCAAACAGTCAGTTTTGAATTTAGCAATGAATTGCAAACCTGCACAGAATATACTTCCCATACCCTTCTTCAGCACCTGGAGCAACGAGTCCAGGAGTCCACACGCAACACATGCCAAAAAAAGACACGCTGGCATAGACGGTGGCAGGTCTGGAGGACCCATTGGCACCAAGGAGTTAAGTAATCTACGGCAGGTACAATGAAGTCGCTTACTGGGTAGGCAGGCAGGAGTCCTCCAGGTCCCACAATATACTGGTTATGCAACAAGGGTGGTACACCTTGGGGCAGGTTGGGGGGAGCTTTGCCTGTAGAATCAAAATACAAAAATTTTAACAAGCCTCAAAGTAAAGGCTTCAGCCCTGAGACAAGTTTGTTGGCCTGCCCTGAAGGCTGAACTCACAGTGTCTAGACAGCAAAGATATGCTTAAGAGGAATGGTGAATAAAAACTGCAAGCTAATACTACTTGAAAGAGGGCCTGAACATGATAACAGACACCCTGTTAGCTAAGGGACCAGACATACTAAGAGATAAGGATCCTACACAGGCCCAGAGGTAAAGAACATGGTTCCATCCCGGAGATCAGTCTGGGTTTGGTGGATTAGTTCTCAGGTTAGTAGGAGTCTGAAATGATGGAAAGGGTTATGGACCCATTGCTCCCTCCCCTAGTCCCTTTTCAGAGGAAGAGTCCAGGCCTCAGTCTCACTGCAACAGATAGCAACCTCGCTGCTCTCACTTTCCGCTCTGCTGTCAATCAGATGGAAATCACTAGTCATCAACAGCATCGTAGCTCTCTTTTGTGGGTACTGCTGGCTTCAGCTATGGCCAGGAAGAGCGAAGAGGAGAGGTCATAATGCTATGAAGCAGGGCTGTGCTGAGGACCATGGGGCGAGAAATGCACTTTGTCTGGCCAGTAATTAGAACCTCCACTGGCAGTATGAGTGGGAAAGGGAAGAGAGAAACGCTTGTGCATATGATTCAGCCAGAATGTCCAGTTCCTTCACCACTTTCCCCTAAGGGATATCCTGACGCATCACATTTCCTTTTGGCAGCTAAAGCTGACTACAAAGCCAGCAGTGAACTTCAGTACTGCTTCCATTTGAGCACAAGACAACTCATCTCCCTTCTCTGAAAAGGACGAGAGCCGCCACCACCGCACAAAATGAACTGCCCTGGCTGTTTCAGGCATTCTTTCTCCTAGCAGAGCCGTTTGCAGTGACATGGGCAACGCATGAATCCAGAGCCTCTTCTCCTCAGTCACCAAGGCAGCAATGCTTTGGCATGGGGTAATGAAGGCTGGAATTGCAGTGGATTCTGACACTGCCACATGAACTTGGACTGCAGGGGGAGAGTTAGAAGTAAAAGCTAATGTGAATAAAGCCAAGAGCTGACCATGTTGCTTAGTTTGCAAACCAATTCTCTACAGGTCCACATTGACTAAATCAGGAGCAGCTCTGGTTATCATCTATAAAGCTTTCTGAAGATGGAACATGCTACATAAATGCTAATTATTACCCATCAAATATTCCCAACACATAAAAGCAGGCAACTTTATTTCATAGGCCAGCAAGTAAAGCATGCTGAAAAATGCAAGTCTTTAAAGAGTGTGTATTTCTTAGCGTAGTTATTGCTGGCGTGGTGCTCAACTGACAACCTGCAGACTGAAGTCCTCTGTCTATTCATGTGATTTGTTAATATTGCGAACCTGAAGACACTAAGGGAGCTGCCCGTGTAGAAGCAGCTGGCATAGACACACTGGTAACGCTCAGGCCAAGGCTGTTTGTAGTGTTCATACTGCTTGCCATGCTGACAACTGAGGATGTGGTGCTAGTGGCTGAGGTTGAAGCAGTTGAAAAGGTTGTTGAGGGCTGGAGTGAAGCTGTGCTCTCCACACTGGTGTGCTAGAAAGGAGACAAAAAGAATGGGGATCACAGAGCGGACAAACCACACTGCAAAACACCCGAGTAAAAACACCACCCAACCTTTTAGGTAACAGCAGCATGTGCAAGAGAATCCTAGCATTCTCATCTGTATTATATACATACGCAACAGGAACCGGTAAGCCAAAGGCTATAATTCCATTAAGAGGTTCTATAAACCTACACCATGAGAATGAAACGCAAGTCACCAGGCCTGAGTTGGAATTATATATCTGTGGTTCAGTTGCTTTTTTATTATGTTAACTATGGTCATTTTGGCTCTCACCAGAATGATCCTTTTAACTTAGATATCTTTGCAAGCGTCTAGGAGTTTATCTAAGGAAAAGGATATTTGCTTTAAAGGGCCCCTGCTAATAGGATTTCTTCAGGCCACTTGCAAAAATTAAAAGCGAAATGCAAACTTAAAAACTGTGATGCCCTTAGTGGTAGTGGAGGAGATGTGTTAAACTGATATGCAAGCCAGATAGCGTACTGCTTGCAGCATAGTGTAGAGTGCAACACAAGTGCCATAACAGCAAAGCTAAAGCTCAGCAGAGAATGGGAAGAGGGAACATTCTACTAAGTAAGAGATTTCAAGATACAGTAAAAGCTGTTTTATCTGGCACGTCACCAACGGGAAAGCTCTATAAACCAGCATTTCTGATCTTCATTGATACACTGGTTTATAGTCCGCTTGGCGCAGGGCCGGCAGGAGGTTGGGGCGCGAGAGGGGGTGCAGAGCGTGGGCTCTGGGAGGGAGTTTGGATGTGGGAGAGGGCGGTGCCCTATCCGGGGCGGGCCGCTCACCTTGGGTGGCTCCCCACAGGCAGCGACCTGTCCTGGCTGCTCCTCAGTGGAGGCGATCCTAGGCAGCTCTGCACGCTGGCACTGCCCTCGCAGCTCCCATTGGCCATGGTTCCCAGCCAATGGGAGCTGCAGAGCCAGCGCTTGGGGTGGGGCCGGGGCAGAGTGCAAAGCTGCCTGCCGTGCCGCCACCTAGGAGCAGTTGGGGCAGGTCGCCGCTTGCAGGGAGCCGCCTAAGGTGAGCGGCCCCCGGATCCGGCACCCTGTACCCCCTCCCATACACAAACTCCCTCCCTCTTAGTTAAACGGCATTTTTCACTAACTGGCACCCCCCATTTCCCCAATATGCTGGATAAAACAGCTTTTACTGTACTTACCGACTAGGGATGATGTAATGGTTTCTAACACACTTACTACATATACTGAACCCATACAGAAAACCCCTCTACTAACCATAACCAATCCATATGCCATTTTGGGGTTGCATACACAGGGGCAGCCCACCACAGAGCAAGACGGCAACTGTCTTTCTATTTAGCACTAGTATAACCACATCTGTTCAATACTGGTTGCCTTGTTACCAGAAACACACAGACGTATGCAGATGATGGTAATACCCATGCGACACATTCCAGAATCATGTGTTACATGGCGTTCTTCATACACTTGCACACTGCCTGCTAACAACTCCACTGAGGTTAGTAATAACACTCAAAACTTCGGAGCAGCTTCAAACAGCCACTTTACTACAACTTTTTAATGCAACTTGTGGCAAAAATGTCTCTCTCTACTCCCTTACATGGAAGTTTCCTCTGTGGCTACATTTGTCTGAGGGATAGGATGGGCAAAATTCAGTGCTAGACCATTGACAGCTTTTATGTCCGATCAATCACAAGCCATCAGCACCAGAGACGAGCTCTTGATACTACTAGAGAGCTGGGAAATTGCCCCTCTTCCCTAGTGAGATAAAGCACTTGTCTCAGTCCCCGGGCATTGTGACACTGGCAGACCAGGTGTCAGCTCATGCCTAGGTCCCAACTAAACACTGATGAATGCATAGCTGGAGACCAGTCTGGCTCACCTGCGTGTTAATGTTATTAAAATAGGTATTCGCTTTATAAAAATATGTTTAGACTTTATGAAATGCTTGTAGGATGTTGCTTGTATTAATCTCACTTAATATAACCTAATAACATGGGGTACAAATGTTAAGCGTTTGCATTGCATCTGTAACGGTGTAACTCACCAAACAGGAAAGAAGCATTAACTAATGTAAAGGCTGGCTTCCTATAGAAGGTGTTAGGTACTGTACACAAAAAGACTAACTGAAACCAAATGAGCCACTGTTAAGCATCGAAGGACAAAGACTTTGTTAACTGCATTCCTCCTCCCACCCCCATGAAGAGGAGACCTGTGCATAAGTTGATCCCATCAGCTTGATCTCTGGGAGGAAGGGAATAAAAATCCCTGACAAGAAGAAACTGGGTCTTTTATGCTGCTTGGACTCTGAGGAGCAAGCAAAAGATCCCCAGTGCTTGGTACGGGTTAGCTCTAAAGGACTTACAGAGCTTGCTTTATAATAGGAGCGTCTATCATTCTAACTAACTCATTTGTGTGTATGTTTACCTGCTTTAACCTCGTAAATAACTTGTTTATTTTTATTAGTTTATTATAGGATTGGCTACAAGTGTTGTCTTTGATATAGAATTTAAGGTGCAATTGACCTGGGTAAGTGACTAGCCTTTTGGGACTGGGAGTAACCTGAATATTGACTTTTGGTGTAAGGGACCATCTCTCACAAAGGCAAGCTTGCATGGGTGGCAAGACAGAGGAGATTACCAAGGGGCCTGTCTGTGACTCCATGTTAAGGCTGTAATAGCGCTTTAGGAGTTCACACTGGATATTTGGTTGGTGAAATCTGAGGACAGAATTCAAAACCAGTTTGAGATTTGTGCCCTGCTTCTTAGCAGTCTGCCCTGAGGCTGGTACCACTCCAGACAGCTTGACAGGCATCTTAAACCTTTATCAGGAAAACTGACTGTAGATTTAATGAGACAAGGTGGGTGAGGTAAAATCTTTTATTGGACCAACTACTGTTGGTCAGAGAGACCAGCTTTCGAGCTTACACAGAGCTCTTCTTCAGGTCTGGGAAACATACTCAGAGTGTCACAGCTAAATGCAATGCGGAACAGATTGTTTAGCATAAGTAGATAACATATTTCAACACTGCAGACAACAATGTCGACTTAATAGCTGTTATGATTCAAACAGGACTTACCGCATGTGAGGTGCTCGCAGACAGCGCTGCAGCAGAGGAGAGGCTGCTCTGATGATTGGAGAGGGAACTAGAAAGACAAATTTTAAAGGATTAATCAATAAAACTAAACTAAACAGACTAATCATCCTGAATTTCTCACAACTGAACATTATAAAAGCATTTAAAATACTTTTTAATGTTTTAGTGATTTATTTTAACACTAAAAATAAGTTATTGATATATACAGAAAACCAGTTCTGGAATCAAAAGCAACATAACGTCAAAGATCTTCTTACAGTGGAGAATGGCAATTAACTACCCTCCTCTCAGTGTTATAAGAAAGTCATTGTGACTGACAGGAAGACACTGCTCATTAGTGCTTGTAAATTTCTCATGTTTTAAACGAGTAAAAGTTTCTTACTGAGTTGCCAAAGCAATGACAAGCCATTTATAATAAGAAATAGAATCCCTTCTGAATTCAGCTGCATAATACTGACCCCACTAATGAACATTACTGAGTATTAACACCACAATTCTGCTAATGGTCTCAACACCTTCAGAAAAATGGGGACCAAAGAAGTGTAGATTAAAAATGGTGAAGTAAAAGCAGGGAGAACACTTGTCACCTAGAACACCAAAAGGGAATTCCAGCATCAAACTGAAATCACACCACCGAGCCCCCAAATCCATTTTAATCACTCACAATATGCATACATAATACTACATAGCTTCTATTGTTATCTGTAGTGTTGTTGTAGCCATATTGGTCCCAGGATTTGAGAGAGAGAGAGAGTGTGAGTGGTAATATCTTTTATCGGACCAACTTCTGAAGAAGAGCTCTGTGGAACTCAAAAGTTTGTCTCTTTCACCAACAGAAGTTGGTCCAGTAAGATATTACCTCGCCCACCTTGTCGCTCTCATATACAAACTAATTCCCATTATGTTTTAAAATATTCAAACACAGTAAAACTCTGGGAATCAGAGCATGTTAAAGTGTCCATCACACAGAATATCCACTATAGAAATTCTAGGTAGAAATACAGTGAGAAGATACAGGAAGAGTGGTTCAAATTAAAAAAAAAAACTAAACAATAGGAGCTTGCATGTATCTGTATGTCATGTAGACTCTTCAAGCTAGGATTGCAACTTCTGAGCTCTCAGACCTTCACAACTTTAGGCAGGTCTCCACTTTCTGAATTTAAAAAAATTGATTGCCAAAGTACACTTCATTTCATCAGATGATTTAAAGACCTAAATCCCTCATCTTGTTTACAAAGGAAAAGCCTCATCTCTCCTGAGAGCTACAGAGTTATAAAGGACAGAACTCAGCCGTGAAATCAACAAATGATCAGCTCCTTTTGCAACAGTAAAGAGCTTGCTTCTCACCATCAAGGGTTCACATACATTAGGACAGTTCTCGGAGGCAGACTTACTCGTCAGAAGTCTCCTAGCTGAAATGAATCCACATTCTTCCTGCTAGATGTGAATCTTCTGATGCCTCAGCAGAAGGAATACTGTCTTCCCAGTTCCTACATTTTCAGGCAAGCCAGCCATTCTCAAACTCCTAACCTTAACTTTTTTAATCAACTCTCATTTCTTGTACTGCATTGTTTTGTTTTTCTCCTCCTTGAGTTAGACTGTCCCCCCACATCTAGCACAACTCAGCTAGTTTATCTTCAAGGGAAAGGATCAACATTTTTGTAAATAGTGGAAATGGACTCTTGTAGTAATTCTGCTTTTAGGGAGTACATTCATTCTTCTCACAACTACTTGTTTTCTATCAATCAAGGAGTCCCACCTCCAAGCTTATAGTGCTAACAGCAACACCAGCACCAGATCTGTAAAAGCCTTCTTGGCAGGTGACTAAAGCTTGTTCTTAAGCATTTTAAATGACCAACCGCTTCACCTTTCCTCCCACCCCAAAACTAATGCCACCCCAGCAAAATAAAGGGCAAGCAAAATGCAACCACCACAAATAAAGCCAACCATCCAGAAGAGTTAAGCAGCTCAGAAACAGGTCTGGTCACCACTCACACGTCTATACGCTCCCTTCCGAATTCTGGTATTAAGAAAGCCCCATGCATGTCAACGAGGGGCAGGAAGACAAGTGTCCTGACCATGATTAAATACAGGCATTTTCTTTGGAGATGCAACAGTGGTGTTTATAACCAGACTGAAAGTTAATACTGTAGGGCATTTCCTAATTCATGACCAGGCCCTTTGAGGCATGTCAAGGAGGAGGACCAGCATACACCTCTGCAGCTTTACAGACCAATTTCACTAAGACTTTTATTGCCTCCCTCTCCTGCAGCCACCAGGATGAGGAGACACTGTGGCAGAAGGAGGGAAATGGTTCAGTCATGCACAGGTAGTTTTTGAAATGCACATTCCCTCGACACCTTGATTCATCAGGGGGCCCACTCCTGAAAAGACTCAGACTCAAGAGCTGTCTGCACATGCAAGTCAGATATGTGCTTGGAAATCAGGCATCACTGTCTTTTCAGGTTACTCCAAGTCTGCCCCACATCATGCACACCTAAACCCAAATTTCTAGCCAGGCACCTCACTCATCGTTTGTGAAGTGCTTTGGATCCCTTTTGGATGAAAGGTGGTACAGCAAAAATGTGAGCGATCGAGTCTCAGGTGAAAGGAATAATTCCAATTACTTGAGGCATTTAAGACTTCACTCAACACTGACTGTCCAACAGGGCATGACCATGCACTAGCTGGGAGATGGACAAGAGCCATTAGGTCCTGGTTCAATCCATTGCTAAATTCAAGAAATATAGTGCAGAGGTCAAACAGCGCAAGTAGTTTATATAATTAATACAGACTCACGATGACACCGGTTCAAGAACGAAGCTTTAATAATGTGCCGTGAGAAGCAAACAGCTGGCACAGAAGAGCTGAGTGGTGATGGACAGAACTTCCCAGAGCTTCAATCTGATAGTTCACATTTCCTCAAGGAAGGATCTTAGCAAGAAGCACTTGGAACCACTCAGCCCTCAGTCCCAATGTCGACATTTTTTACTTTAAATGTGTGACAATCAAGGATTTAAACATCTACAACATTTAAAAATGATCAGAAAAGCAACTGCTAAAGAACTGGATTTTTATAGGCTAAAAAACTGGCCAGATCAATAGCTGGTGCTGTGGACAAGGCAGCAAAAACACCAAATGAAGGTATAAGTGTAATTTGGAATCCACTATAGGCTACGTTGAAGCAGCAGATCCTTAAATAGGATATTGCTGCTAAATCTATGAGACTCCAAGAACAGAGATCTGTGGGCACAGTACCGCTGAAATGTAGCATGTGGTTCGTATATTCCAACCAGAAACATTATCCTGGATCTCTTATGAATACCTGTCCTAGTTCGGGTTAAAACAAGAGAGGGGGCCGCATTTACCTGGAGTCACCTTGTACACTGACTCATTTCTATCCTGCGCACACTGCCACTAAGCCCAAATTCAACCCGTTTTCCTTTGTCCTCCTACTGTACCTGCTTAACTGGGAGAGTGAGCTGCTGGCCAAGTCACTGGACTGGGGCAAGCTGGGTAACGTTGCTGTGTGCTGTGGAGCTGAAGGCAGAAGCGAAGCAGTGGAGGACGCCGTGCTAGGCAGAGACCCCGCAGTAGGTAGCGAGGGAGAGGTTTCTGTCTTAGACGTTGGAACTGATGAAGTAGCTGCAAGTTAGAAAAAGCCAATCAGAAAGGAATTCCAGCACACACAACCCCACGTATTTGATTCAGGAACAGAGAGACTTTAAGACAAGGCAGCACATTCCAGTCAATTTACCAATGTGTGAGGAATTGGTACCGATGACTTAGTGACCCGCTTGACTTGGCTATTGGAGTAAATTCCACAGGCATTGGTAAAGCCAAGCCATCTTTCCTTTGGCGGGTCTAAGATTTTCACTAGTAGATTTTTAATGAGTGACATTCCTTTGTTTATTTATCTATTGTCACTTTTTTTTTTTTTTTTTCCCACTTGTTTTTTCACTCCCCCTCTTTGAATCTCCCGCATTGATTCCAATCTTCTTCCACATCAGTTTTGAACTCCTCCTCCTCACTTTCAAGGCCCTTCCCAACCTTTGCCAACATCTCTGTTCCTCTCCTAACTGGCCCACTTCCACCCTATGCTCTACCAACACAGCATGTCTTTATAATCCCATGGCGATCTCTTACAACCCTGTGCTTTTGCCCATGTCTGGAACATCATCAACAACCCTGATGAAGCCTCTTCCCCACGGCTCACTTATTTTGGGTAGATGACCTCCATTCTTGCCCTCTTTATAGGGTTTTTCACATTCAGATTTCCAGCTCAATGGCTTTATTAGTCAAGAATGAAGAACTACTAGCTGTAAAAAAAAAAAAAACTGCAGACACCAAGTCCAATAGAAAATAATAAAGGAGCTAATGGCTTGTATGCAACTAAGGTAACACTCTGTGCATCTTTCAATTCCCTTTTCTTCCTCCCCCATATCACTCTGTTCTTCTTGTTACACCTAGTCTAACTTGAAGCGTAAGCGTGACAAGGATCTGTTGTATTTGCCTGTAAAGCTCCAGGCACATCTATGATGCTGTATAAATAAAAAAATAATTTAATCTATTTGTAAACAAGAACAAGATACTGTTTTGATACTCTTCAAGTGAGTTTTGGACAGACAAAAACAGTACGTACAACTTACTGGTTCGGAGTCGCAAGGAAGTACATCCCTTTAATAAATGGTTTAGAAGTATTTGGGAAGTGCTGACAATGAAACAAAACAAGCTACAGTCAAACATAACACCCTTTCATTGAGCACTTTTGGTGACCCAAACAGATGACTAACATGACTTTGTTTTACTCATCCTAGAGACGGAAAATGCCAAGAATGAACTGTACTACTGTTAAAAGCCACCTACTTATTACAAATGCACCTTTCCCAGGGATCGCTACCTTGTAATGTTAAGCTGGAGGATTCTAGGACAGTAATGTAATTATCCTGTTAAATCCATGCTGCTGTTCTGTGATGTCCCATGAAGAACTTCAGTTACAACATGGAAATTCAGAAGTTCTCAAACTACTTGCTGAAATTCACAAACAGCCATTTGCTGCTAAGATTCAGAAGGCCAGTTACGCCTTTCACGCAGCTCCATCTTCTTATACCTCATGGTTTCAGTGACTACGCCCCAACAAGTTCACTATTAACTGGTATGCAAAATACAAGCGGGATGAAAAGACTCAGTCTTAAGAGTGTCCACAGTACAGTTCGGATATGTGCTTGGAAGTTAAGCATCATCGTCTTTCCACGTTCGCTGTCTTGTTGTAGCTCTCCGAGGCCCCCAGTCAGGATCAGGCCCCTCCCAATGTGTTAGGTGCTATACAAACAAATATTAACAGTGACCACCCTGGAGAACTTACCGTCTGAAACCAAGCGCAATGAGGATGAGAAACAAAGAGAGGGAAGGGAGGATGAGGGTGATGAAAATAAAAGCATATAGTGACCGAGGGAGCAACTGCACTACTTGATGGTCCATGAAGATGCCATTTAAAAAAAATTAAACTAGCTGGTCCTGACAGACACACAAGCCACTGCTGATCGACCCTAACAAGAATTCAGCCAAAGCAGAAATGGATCTTGAGGAGGGATCTGAAGGAGGAGGTAGTGACTATCCAGATCACTCAGATGCAGGGACGGTGCTGCACGCATAAGAGGTGGCACAGAAAAAAATCATACAGATGACTGTAGGAGAAGCTGATAATTGGATGAACAAGGCTGGCATCTCTTTGCAGAGGAGGAAGCAGCCAAGGGTAACAATATAAGAGACAAGGCAGGACAAGCGAGGGGGGGGAGGGGGCAGTCATGAAGGGCCTAGACAGGAAGGACAAGACACTTGCACAGGATGTGTTTAGAGAACATATGAACATAAGAACGGCCATACTAGGTCAGACCAAAGGTCCATCAAGCCCAGTATCCTGTCCTCTGATCGTGGCCAATGGCAGGTGCCCCAAAGGGAATGAACAGAACAGGGAATCATCAAGTGATCCAAGCCCTGTCACCCAATCCCAGTTTCTGGCAAACAGAGGCTAGGGACACCATTCCTGCCCATACTGGCTAATAGCCATTGATTGACCTATCGTCCATGAATCTATCTAGCTCCCTTTTGAACCCTGTTATAATATTGGCCTATAGTATTGGTATAGTATTAGAGAGGGAAAACCAGGCAAGAGAACTGAAGAGAGGAGTGACATAGTTAGGGCAATGGACAGGAATATAGTCCCAGCTGTCATATTTTGAAAGGATAGGATGGGTTGGGGAAGACATGATGTGGAAATCAGAGAGGAGGTGACAGAAGTCAAGATGGATGATTAGGAGGACTTGGACTAGAGTTTTAACAGCATGGACAGAAAGAAAAAGGTCAGAGTTTGAGTGTGTTAAGGAGGAAAAAAACAAGGGTTTGAACATAGCCTGGATGTGTAGGCTAAGTGTGGGAGGAGTCAAAGATGGTCCCGTTTACAAACATGTATGACAGAGGACAGCAATGTTAACAAATTGAGGATTGGGGATGGGCAGAGACTCTCTCTGAGCTAGATTCTAGAACAAATGCATAAAATTTAAGAGTTCCAAGGTCAGTTAAGGATGATTTACTTTGCATAGCAAAGAATTTGAGACTTAAAAAGTAGCCAAGTGGGTCTTCAGAGAACTTTGTAACTTGGGAGATGAACAAATCCAATAAATAAAAAAGCAGGCCACTGTGCTACAGACAGCAACTTCCACAGCTCCCTTTGTGGTAGCTCATGCTTCGATTGTAAACCAATTTTCAATTGGAACAGTATTTTACAAATATTTTGAGAGCAACTGATTCAAAGATGGTAAATCAGCAGACTCACAAGTTTTTCAACCTTAAACTAAATTTTGTGCTGATGAAAACATGCCAGGTTTACAGCTCTGGATACTCAAGACCTCTGTTCACAAAACTTGTATGAGAAAAGAGTACTTGAAGGACAAACTGCCCTACTTCTGACAACAAACCTTGAGGGTGGTTTTTGAGAGATGGATACCTTCCCAGAGTTGGGATGGACACAAGGTGTGGGGCTGAGGGGGTAAGTTTACAGGGAAATCAATTTGTGCTGCTACCCATAAAAAGGAACACAGACATGCTCATACAGGGCAGAAAAGCATAGTGTTATTGATAATGATAGGAATACCAGGAAGTAATCCACAGGGGGTACTACCAGTAAGATAATACATGAAAAAAGGTTAAGCAAAAAGGCCAGACAACCACTGTCTATGCATCAGCATGTTTTTTTGCTCTACTGCAGCAGACAAGCCATCCAGCAGAGGGAGCATGTTAGCCAACCTTATTCCCAGAAGTTTGCTGCAGGATAACAAGAGAGAACAAAACAAAGCCACATTCTTTTTGAACTCCACTAAAAATTACGATCAATCTGTTCTCCAAATGGGAAGCTGGAAAATTGGTAAGAAATGTCTGATTGACATCAATGTGGGCATGAGAATTAAAAAAATAAAACTGGGAACTTCCCTGTGACTCCAAGTCTATTCAGTGTTGCACATCTGGGAGCAAATTTAATAAAACTGATTTTAACATTTCATTATTAGCAAGCAAGTAAAAGTGCAGCTCACAAGAGAATATCAGGGTTAGAGTTACCAGTGCCTTGTCCCTTTAAAAATTGAAGGTCTGCAAACTCACTTGAAATAAGCATGAGAGAAATGAAACAACAAACCCCCGGGGGGGGGGAAATGTGTCACCCTATCCCAGAAAACAACCAATTTTAAAGAAAGACTGTAAAATAACAGACACAAGGTAGGTGAGGTAGTATCTTCCACACCTTGTCTCTCTAATATCCTGGGACCAACACGGCTACGACGACAACACTGTAAACATTTAAAAACAACAGGACAGATTGGGAACTCCCACCAAAAGGACAGATTAATTGAGCCTAAGCAGTTGGATTTATCAAACTGAAAGTGGGATTTGAAAGGGGTACGCTGAGATAACAAAAGCTGTAATTAGGACAGTTTGCCTTGGACTGAGCCTCAGGAGCTAGCTGGAAGGAAAAAACTAACCGAGCCTGCCAAAACGGAGGAACATCTCAAGGTCCTATAACCAAGGGAAAGATGAGACTGAACTTTACCTGCAGCTCTTAAGGCCAGCGCAAGAGCCAAAGGACACGTCAGGATTTCCTAGTCTGAGCACTCGATTTCAGAGAGAAAGTATTGTTTGCCTCACAAGGAGCGGACTCTGACCTAAGATATAACCCTGTCCTTGCAACAAAACACATTCATCCACTCAGTCCTGACGGGATATTCAGACTGTGATGCAACCTCGTTTAAAAGATAATCAAGTTGCACATGAGACCTTGTTTGAGAAGCTGCACACTGCTGTAGCGGAGGAAGCAGAGAAACACCAGAAGTCGGGGAATGGAGCGCAGGCTACAGCAGCAGCTTGTAATTCTGTGAAATTGCCATACACAGAGCACAGGTCAGAAAGGGAAGCAGCACCTCCTCCTGAGTGAAAAGAATCTCCAAAGGTGACTTGTTGATGGATGAGATAAGGGAACTAAAGGCCAGTATTGATGAACTCAAAAGTGCAAGGGCTGAAATTAGTATAAGAAGCGAGCTGTCTGGGTGCACACAAAAGCACTGAATGGTACGAGCACACAAGCAGGCAGGCAACCCCAGAAAAGAGGATGTGTTAGCTGCAGACCATCTGGCAGAGGCGGTACTTGTGACCACCGTTTCAGATGTGGCAGTACAGAACACTACCAGTCAGATGTCATGCAGGAAAACCACAAGAGAGCAGAGGCAAAGCCGACACTATCAGATCTACCAGGATGGCCTGTATTTACCATTAAACACCCAAGCTGCAACCCAGAGTACCCAATTTAGGGTAGGTCTACACTACAAGTGCTACAGCAGCACAAGTTGCAGCACTCCAGCTACGCCACTGTAGTGTAGACACTTGCTACAGCAACAAACGGGGTTTTTCCCCATCATTAATAAATCCATCCTCTCGAGAGGCAGCTAAGTTGTTAGAAGATGATATGACGTGTGCATTTCCCTACCTGGACAACGTTCTTGTGGACAGTGGCACTTTCGAAGAACACGCAGAGAACGTAAGGAGAGTATTGCAACAGTCACAGAATAATTAAGGTGAAAGTTTCTAGATATGACCTTTAAAACATTACTCGGGAAAGGTGGTATCTGATGAAGGTTATAAGATGGATCCAACTGACACCTTGACTCTGTGCTTTCGCAGAGAAACCAAGGGACAGGAGAGGGGAACTTTGTAAGCTGCTAGGCTTCATCATCTACTATCGAAGCTACATTCAACACTTTTCTAGAATAGCACAGCCACTGTACGACTTGTTGATTGTTTCACTGGAATCTGACTCATCACTGTCAAAAGTGGCTTGGAAAAAGAAGAAAGCTAAAGGGCAAGGAAAGGCATTTGGACAGATATCCTCCAAACAGCGACTTCTCTGGACTGAGCATCATCAAAACGTTTTAAAAAACAACTGCTACCAATAACCGCCTATCCTGATTTTGCGTAACCCTTTATCCTTCATGTAGATGCTTCCAATAAGGGACTAAGTGCAGTCTTCTATTAATGTCAAGAAAGTAAATAGAGTAATTGGTATGAGTCAAGAACATGTACTACAGCTGAGGAGAATTATCACCTTCACTAAGGAAAGCTGGAGTTTCTATCTTTGAAGTGGGCTATTACTGACCAATTCCATGATTATTTCTACACACCCAAAATCCATAGTTTATGGCAATAACAACCTGCTAACCTATGCTTTCACTTCTGCCAGGCTGAATGCCACAGCATACAGGCTTCAGGATTAGCTGACTAACTTCAAAGTTAAATATCATCTAGGGAAATCTAATGTGGAGCCAGATGCTTTATCCAGAGTGCCCCTTGATATGGAAAAATATATGACAGAATGCACAAGAGAGACAAGCAAAGACGTTAATGCGGACTTTCAGTCCTTGGATGTACAAAAAGATGACAAGGTATCTTAGTCAGGAGCTGTTACTACCACCCCTTTGCCAGTAGAAACTCATCTCCATTGGTATTAAATCCACCATAAAACCATTTCCACAAGACGACATTTTGGAAGTTCTAAACGAAGATGCAGCTGTTGCTAAAATTCTTCATTATAAATCCATGAGGTAAAGACAAAATAACCAAGAGAACACAGGAGGATATGGTAATATGCGTGTGAGTGGCACCATTGCATCTGGAAACAGGTGGAATACTTTACTGAAAAACCAAGTTACAAAATCAACTGGTATTACCTGAAAAATAAATAAGAAAGGGAATCGAGCTACATGAAGAGATGGGACATTTAAGAGCAGAGAAAGTAATCAGTCTTTCAAGAGATAGGTTTAATTGGCCACAGATGAAGGCGAAGATCAAACATTATGTTACCAGAGTCTGTACGCGAGTCAAGCAAAAGAAACCTCACCAGCCAACTAACAGTTACAATAGAACCATTTAAGTGTGAAAATAATTTATTCAGAAAGTTGTAGCACTACCGTTTCAATTTTACATCTCACACAACCCCCTACCACTCATAAGGCAATGGGCAGATAGAAAGCCAGAACTGAACTCTTCGCTATGTTGTGAACCTTGCTAGAAGAACAAAAGTCAAGCTGGAAAGTCTCCTTTAAATAAGGTCACCTAAGTCTATAACTGTACACAAAATGAAGCTACAGAGTTCTCCCCTCTATGTATTATATGGAAGATCACCATGTTTGCCCATTGACATTGCATTTGGTTTACCTATACACTCAGTGTATACCTGGGCACCATAAAGATTAAGCTGAGAAATGGACACAGCAGATGAAAGAAGCTTATGAACTGGCATCAAAGTGTTCTCAAAAATCTGCTACTCGTGGTAAAAATCACTATGGTCAGAAAGTGCATGGTGCTGCCCTCCTGCCCAGTGGCAGTACTTGTGCAGAATCTTTCAGAGAGGGTGACCAGGAAAATTAAGATCCTATTGGGAAGATAAGATTCATGTTTTATTTGAAAAGAAAGGGGATAGTCCAGTCTATGAATTAAAAAGCAAAAGATGGGGAAGGATGTTTTAAAGAGTTCTCCACTGCAATCTTTTAGTTCCCTGTGACGGCTTGCCCTTCGATGTAACACCTTCTAAACCACAACAAAGGAAGAAACAGAGACCAAGGCAAACTAGTGCAACAAGAGATCAAAATGAGAACAAGCACTTGGACTCCAGTGATTATGATAATGAGAGTGAAGATGAACTACATTATGTGATGGCACCAGATATTGCCCATGGCACAGATTCTGTGAATTCCAAGGCAGAAACATTTCATCCACATCTGGGAAATGAGGATGTGGTTGACCCTGTGAATTTGGAAACTGCATTAGACTGATGTGCCATTCACACCAGCCACTGAAAAACATGAATGGCAAAATGAGACGATGGAACCTGAAATCAACAGTGCACAAGAGGGCAGATCACCAGAACAATCCACTGACACTCCAGGTCATCCAACTAGAAAAAGAAGAGCCACACAGACACCAAAATATGAACATTTAGGGACACCTACTTATCAGTGCCTAAATCCAACTACTGAACGAGTGAATGCACCATCTGGCTATCCTCATGTTTGTCAGAGCCATACCAAATGCCTATTCTTGTACCTTATCCTGCAGTCTATCCAAGATCCATGTAATACTGGTAAAGTGATATTGACTCATGGTATGTCTACTGCTCTAAAATTAAATGATGCGTTTTATAATTCTAGATAGTTTGTTATGATGTTAATTTAGTATGTTCCCTAAATAGTTTGCCATATGCCCAGTGACTTGGAGTTATCATGACTATATCACTGCTCATACAGGAACTTTTATTTCTTGATATATGAATATCTTTAGGGATCTACGGTGTTCAGAACTGATTGTTCAGTTGGATTTTGGAACTAAAATTGCCAGACTTTCTGCTTAATATGAAAAACTGAAGAGAGATACATACATTTCCACCATCAGTACCAGAACTTGAGAGAAAGAGAGACTCAAAGGCACAGTTGAGAATGACAGTTACGAGTTTGGGCATAAGCTTTTGTGGGCTAAAATTAGCATCACTTCATCAGATGCTAAAACCCGCTTCATCAGATTGCATCTGATGAAGTGGGTTTTAGCCCACGAAAGCTTATGCCCAAATAAATTTGTTAGTCTCTAAGGTGCCACAAGGACTCCTCGTTGTTTCTGCTGATACAGACTAACACGGCTACCACTCTGAAACCAGTTACAAGTTTGTGCAACTTACGGACTTCTAATAAATCAATGAATGGACTGTATGTTATACATAGTTAACAGAAATGTTGGGACAACGTTACATTTACATGGGGGGAGTGCAGCACTCAAAGGAATATCAGGGTTATGTTTACCTGTGCCCTGTCCCTTTAAGGATTGATGGTTTGCTGAGGGACTCAGAGGGGACAGCTCTGGTTGCAGCAACGTGTGCTCTGAAAGGACCGAGTAGCAATGGGGCTTGTGCAAGCTGTGTGTTTATTTTCTGATACCAAGTTTAAAACTCAAACTGTTCAGCCAAAAATTAAACAGAGAAAGTTGTACAAAACCTTAAGCTATCTATTACAATGGTGTGTATGTTGAGGGGTAAGGGATGGTCAGAGAAACAGTTGTGTCTATAATGGAGCTTTATAAACTTACTGTCAAGAGTTGGCTGTGTTCGAACACCACTGTGCCCATTCTGTAAACAAAGGAAAAACAAATGAGTAAGCCACCTGACAGAGGTGGTATTAAAAACCCTACACGATTCAGACATTTAACAGGCTGCTCATTGCAAAACTTTATATTCATTCCAAACTGAAAGTCAAGAGGGACGTCAAATAATCAACTGCCATTCCTTGGGCTAAACTATATAGTAGGAAAGTGTAGGTACAATGTTTGAGACACACATCCCAGGGACACAGGAATAAAAATGAAACAAGAAGGGTGTATGAATGAGTGATGGTAAAGTCAGGGAACGTGAAAAACTGTTGTCTCCCTGATCTAACAGAACACACAACTGCACCTAGGCAAATTACAGAGAGAGGCTGGAACTCTCCATTGGGAGATAAGGTTTGAGAGGAAACAATTACTTCTTGGATCATTCTGGTCCACAAAAGTGGATGCTCTAGATTTATAATCCTGAGCACCATCACATAGGACTTGGTTCAGAAGGTAAATGTGATTGAGCCATTAAATTACAGAGACCAGAACGTCATTATGTTTGAAATTGCTGCAAGGAGATCATACGGAGAAATACAAAGATGATGTCATTGTCATTTAGATTCACAGATTTGTAGATTCCAAGGCCAGAAGGGACCATCGTGATTATCTAATCTGACCTCCTGTATAACACAGGCCAGGGAACTGCCCCCAAAATAATCCCTAGAGCAGATCTTTTAGAAAAACATCCAAACTTGATTTAAGAATTGCTGGTGACAGAGAATCCATGGCAACCCTTGGTAAGTGGTTCCAATGGTTAATGACCCTCACTGTTAAAAATGTATGCCTTATTTCCAGTCTGAATTTGTCTAGCTTTCACTTTCAGCCACTGGATCCTGTTATACATTTCTCTGCTAGCTTGAAAAGTCCTTTATCAAATGTGTACTCCCCATTTAGGTACTTATAAGACCATAATCATGTCATCCCTTAACCTTCTCTTTGTTAAGCTAAATCAACTGAGCTCCTTGAGTATATCACTATAGGGCTTCTTTTCTAATCCTTAAATCATTCTTGTAGCTCTTCTCCGAACCCTCTCCAAATTATCAACACCCTTCTTGAATTGTGGACACGTGAATTGGACACAGTATTCTAACAGCAGTCAAATCAGCGCCAAAAACCGAGGTAAACTAACCTATCTACTTCTACATGAGATTCCCCTTTTTATGCATCCAAGGATCGCATTAGCTCTTTTGGCCACAATGTCACACTGGGAGCTCACGTTCAGCTGATTAGACATGACCCCCAGATCTTTTGCAGAATCATTGCTTCCCAAGACAGAGTTCCCCATCCTGTAAGTATGGTCTACGTTCTTTGTTCCTAGATATTGATATTTAGCTGCATTAAAACACACACTGTTTGCTTACGTACAGCTTATCAAGTGAGCCAGATCACTCTGAATCGGTGACCTGTCTGTTATTTACCACCTCCCCCAGTTTGTGTGTCATCTGCAAACTTTATCAGTGATTATTTTATGTTTTCCTCCAAGTAATTAATAAAAATGCTCAATAGTGTAGAACCAAGAACAGATCTCTGCAGGATCTCACTAGAAACATACCCACTCGATGATGATTCCCCGTTTACAATTACAATTTGAAACCTATCAATCAGCCAATTTTTAATCCATTTAACGTGTGCCTTGTTAATTTTATATCGTTCTAGATTTTTAATCAAAATGTCAGCCAGCGCCAAGTCAAAGCCTCACAGAAGTCTACGTCTATTGCATCAAACACTATCATCTTTGTCAACCAAATGGGTAATCTCATCACAAAAAGATACCAAGTTAGTTTGGCAGGATCTATTTTTTATAAACCTACGTTGATTGGCATTAACCCTCCTATAATTCTTTATTAGTTGAGCCCTATATCAGCTACTCCATTATCTTGCTCAGGATCAACGTCAGACGGACAGGCTTATAATTACTCAGGTCATCCCACCTACCCCTTTTAAATAATGGCACATTAGCTTTCTTCGTTTTCTGGAACTTCCCCAGTGTCTTCCCCAAGACTTACCGAAACTCATCACTAACAGCCCAGTGAGTTCCTCAGCAATCTCTTTTTAAATTCTTGGATGCAAGTTATGTGGACCTGCTGACCTTGTGATCTTTAAAATGTAATGTGCATGTTCTCTTTGGTCTTGTATTTTTATTATTATTTAACATTTATAATGTGGTTGTGCCTGAAGGCCCTAACCAGGTCATGCCCCACTGTGCTATATGCTGTACAAATATAATAAACAGTCTCTGCACCGCAGTTATGCTGGCAAGAGATCATGGTAGCCATGTAATATCGATTTGTTGTTTTTTTTTTAAACAAGATGCTAAGCTTCAGGAAGGAGGAGTCAATCAAAATGAGAATGTTAGCTAGAAACAGACTGAAGAGCAAATCAAGAAATCAAAATCCATAGAAACATCACAACGATCTGCATACCTGAGGAGCGAAGGGCAAGAAAAGCAACAGCAAAGAACAACAGAGTTTGGGAGGGAGGGGGTCAAAAGAGAATCTTTTTAACTAGTCCAACAGACTAAAATATCATCTCTGTGTCAGCCACTGAAGTCTCAGAGCACCACTACTATTGCTGAGCTCAACAAAACAGTTGAGCTATAGCCGTAGTATGTCACCAACACCCAATTAACCCAATTAATTTCTTTTCAATATCAAAGGTTTCTGAAACCTACTCACCGTGACTGCAACAGGGGTTGAGTCCGATGGAGCCATGGAGCTTTGGTATGCTATCCTGCTATGCACAGAAGTCTGGTCATAGGAGGAAGTTGTTGTTACGGGGCTAGTGCTCTGGGATGAGCAGGTCAGACTGGAAGAAGTGATGGCAGAGGTTGTGTAGGTGGACTCCTGTACTGTATTGGATATTGGCAAAGAGGTATTCAAAGGATCACTGAAAAAAGTAAAAGTTATTTATCATCTTGTTAAATGTCATTTCAGATACCTTCATGACATTACCAGCTTCTGCCCAGCATTCTGGAACTGGATACCCATTTGCTCAGCTAGAAGTTGCTCACGTTCCAGTTTCCTAGCATAACACAATTTAATGTGGGCCTAGGCAAAGTTACAGCGGGCCCTCTGTTCAGAGCCAGCATCTTCACTCAGCAGCAGGGAGCATTTCCCCTTCCTAGGACAACTGTATTTTTCTCATCCCATGTTCCTTTCTTCCTCCTCTCAAAGAGGCTAGCTATGATAATTGTTTTCCTGCTTTTTCCTGGCTAGAATTAATGTTGTACTTCATAAGTGATTTCTTATGCTTTTAGATTGTAAGGTTTAGAGGGCAGATACCACCTCTTACCATGTGTTTGTACCAGAGCCCAGCACAATGGGGTCTGATCAGACTGAGGCCTTTAGTTAATATTCTAATACTTTGAGATCTACTGACAAAAGGCACTAAATAAGAGGTATTATTATTACACAACACTGCTGTAAATATACATGACAATTTACATACACAGACTAAGATTTGTTCCCTGCCCCTAGATCTTTCTAAACTCTTTACATTTGTTGCCTTTCCAGTATTGCTTGAGTGAACATCAGTCTTGTAGGACTTTACAGGTTAAAAAGCACTTTTTAAAAACTAAATTTTCTTGCCTGTGTTACAAACATTACTTTAAGACAGTTAATACAGCAAGTCATATTTTTCACATCTTGGATACTGAAACTGGGTATCCCTCCATTTCTGTTTATACGGTCTCTTTCAGGCTCCCATACATCAGCACAATGCTGCAATGTTTGCTCTGCCAAAACTGGAAGGTTGTTTTTTTTCCCCCCCTTCCTTTAAGGTTCGTATTGGATTTTTAAAAACATTTACAAAAGTTAAGATGAATGGAGGAATTTATTTTTGCAAATCCTCCATAAACTTTTTAAGGAAGATTTTACACAAACAAAACTCTGAAAACATTTGAAGAGTAAGCATGTATCTGGCTGCTATGTTTGCATTTCCCTTGTTTTTACTGGAGATATTAGCATTTTAATAAGGGCTTTCTGCCCACTTCAGAGCCTGGCTGCCTTTAGGCTGAGCTTACAGTGAAGTCAGAGCTCAGTTTATGGTGTTAGTCTGCTGACAGATGGACGTTGTGATGCATTTATCTCTGCTGGGTCAATTATAAGAGGAGATGGGCTGGGAGGGAGCCAAACCCTCACTTAAACAGCTTTGGGAATCAGCATAATTAAAAATGATAAAGTAACAATGTGAAGGGTAGCTCATGAAAAGAGCATTTAAGTTCAATTCGTTCCCCCCTCCACGCCAACCCATTTTTCAGAATGTTTCTGTAGTCATCAGAAAAGGGACCATCCTCCTTTTAAGGGTGCCATCCTCAGAAAATAAAGATTGAGGCTTACAAGCAATTATATTTTGCTTCTGAGACAGCTACACCAAACAGCCCCTTGGCACAAGAGACCTTGATCTTCACATGCCACTTTTTTGGTACCAGAGAACACAGAAGGATGCAGGAAGGAAACTCTTACGTACTTTACAGGTTTCGAGTACAAGCTGTTGCTGGGCACCTGGCTAATATTCTCATTGCTTGGGGCCGACCCAAACTCTGGGAGAGAAGGCTCTGACCCAAACTCCAGAGCTCCAAACTGAACATTTAACCCCGTCACATCAGCCGATCCAGGCATTTCCACTGCAGAGGCAGGGATCTGAAAGTAAAAACAAAATCCTGTATCTACATAGTTTATATGAAAGAAATCACTCACGAACCACCTTGGACTCTAGGGAACTATAAACATACAGAACACCAAGTATGTAACTTGGTTACAATCTCACAGCCTTGGCTTCTAACCTGTATCTGTTGGTCACTGCAGCTGCCTCTCAGATGGAGCTGCATAATTTCACCTAACTAGAATCCCTCCAGCTTAAAACTTAATTTGTCAGTCCCACATACTTTTGGGGGTCTAAGAGATTAAGTCACACTGTTCTCTGTGCCTACTAAAGAGTATTTTGTTTTAAGCATTCACCTCCCAGTCACTAGTTAGTCCAAAAACACTCAGAAATGGTTGAATTTCCACACAAAGCAATCAGATATGTGCTTGGAAAATACCACATCACTGTCTTCTGGACTATAAAGCCACCCATCTTAAAATTCCCAAAAGTGCATCAAGACTGCCCTATAAAGTTTCCCCGCTCCCCCATGTATCTTAAAGACTATATTTGCCATATATTTGGCCCTGCTGTGTTACCCACCTTAGAAGCTGGGGGTATCCTCCGTTTCGGTGGTTTGATCTGTTTCTGCTGCGTTTGATGGGCAGACACTGCCTGGTTATCCATAGACATGCTGGGGAGCTGCAGCATTTTGCTTGCAGCCATAGAACTGTCTACTGGTGATGGCTCTCGGAGTTTTACTTGGGAGGAGAAGGACTCCAATCCAGGAGGAGGAACAGGGACTGCCTGTGTCTGCTGTTGCTGTCGTTGGGTCAGCTGGCTGAGAACTGGGGATGGTTCAGGCTGGGATTTAAAGTCTAGCCAGCATTTGGGAAAAGAAAATCATAATTGATGCATTAAACTCTGCTCCCAGGACTTTTATGTTCCATCTCTGTAGTTGTAGTTAAAGAATCAGTGCTTTTATTCACCCCTCCCAGAGCTATTGCTGCAGACTGTGTGCAGACTCAGTCAGTCGTCAACGCATTATTTTACATGAGCTTCAGATTTTGAAGATTATTTTTGCAACCACAGAGCTGGCAACTTAGTTTTCTTTTTTGAAACGAAAACTGAGATTCTGAGATAAGACTAAATGGCAATTTTTTAAAAATAGGGAATTAGACAGCTGTTCATATGACCACACAACTGCATTATACCCAAGTCCCTAGCAGAAATGCTATGTATTATTTTAGTCAGACCTTGCACCGCTCCGCAGGGTGAAGACCTGTCTGAAAGTGGGACTCTGTTAAATGCGGAAAGTGCAATTCACAATAAAAGCTAACACTCATGACTTTTGGAAGACAGGCTTATAAGCAATGATTCAAAACTATGGTTCACAAACACAAGAGGTCCACAGAACATTGCAGGTCACATGTTGCCAGCTTCTCCTTATTTTCAGCTGCTAAACTGCATTAAAATACAGCTGAAAACAAATATTTTCTTAATATTACTTTATGTGAACAATTGTGGTTGCTACCACCATGGCTGCTTCTATACTGGCAAAACCAGGACCTGTGTAATTCTCCACAGCAGGAGCATCACTGGAAGCAACAGTGTAGAGATTGCTCAATCTTGTCTAACCCTCCTCAGAGAAGGGTCTACGTAATTGTGAATGGGAGGTACGGTGATCCACTCCATCGTGGACAGAAAGGGAAGTATGCAGGATGCGGATGGTCCCAGGATTAAGACGCGATCCACACTATTAAAGAGCCAGAGAACGCATCAGAAGGTGGTATTAACTTAGTCTAGGATTGAAACTTTATACTTTGTCACTAGTAGAAGTACAGTCCAGGTACCATAAAACAGTCTTTCCCCAGGATTCCTAGAGACATTTACAGTCATACTTTATATTAAGGTTCCATTTACAAACCGTTTATAAAAGGTTATTAATAGATTTTTAAATAAATGGCTAACCAATTGCCAGAGATGAGCCGAACAGGCTGCTTACAACCATCTGTAACACTTTCTACTGAAGCCATCTATAAAAATATTTCTCACGTCTATTATGCTTATAACATATATAATTTATTAACCTTTTATAAATGGAACCTCAATATAATGTGACCAAGTTGACTAGTCTCCCTTTAGGAATCTAATTTCAAAAGAGAAGCCATTTCTCAATATTTTAAAAATCTCTTACATAACGTCTGGCACTGAAGAGTAAAAGTTCCACAGTCAATGGCTTAAAAAAACAACAACACCCCACTATCTAAACACTTACCAAACTGACTGAGGACAGAGGATTGGCTAATAGGGGGTTTTAGATCCCAGGATGATGTGGTGGTAGCGGTGGTGGCAGTGGAGCTACTGCTGTTTTGCTGAGAGCTCGGAGAGGTGAACTGACCCAAACCTGGAGACTTCAACTGGTCCAAGAGCGGAGATCCAGTGGAGTTTGCTAATTTAGAGGATCCAAGTTCTCCAAACCCAGAACAGAGAACTGAAGACTAGCAAGAAAATAAGGGAAAAAATATTTCACTAAATGTTAACATGACCAAACCTGTGAGGTCTGAATTAATCGCTCCCGCTGGCAGCAATTCAATTCATACTTTATCCCCAGATTTCTAATTAAAAGAGAAAAGTTAAAACTTAGCAAGAAAACCCAACTGAGCACTAACAATATGGGGCCAGATCCCCAGCTATCGTATACTGGTTTAGCTCCACAACTGTTAATGGAAGTATGTTGATTTACCCAAGCTAAGGATCTGACCCATGTAGTTTTGTTTATATAGTGCCTTAGAACAGTGTAAAGGTAAAGTTACTGGCAACAGTATTTAATTTGTTTCAAAACATTTTCCTACATCTAATCTCCAACTCTATTAAAACTAACAAAGGATAGCCAACTTTCCATTAGTCCAGAAAACTCAGTAATAGTTGATTTCCACACAGACCAGTCAGATATGTGCTTGGAAAATGCCACATCACAGTCTTCTGGCCTAGAATTCAATGCTTTATAAACAAAGATTTTCATTTTAATCAATATGCAGAAAACTTATTTGCTCTTTTCTCAAGAACCAAAACAAGTAGTTCACTTAAACGGACAAGGGACAAGCTTGTGAGCACAAAAAGGTCCATCTGATACTTTTTTTTTTTTTTTGGTGAAGACATTCTTAGTCCAGTGTCCTCTTATATACTTCAATACCACCTGCAATTTAAGTGCTGCAAAGAAAAGTTATGAAAAAACAAGAAACTAAGTGAAAAAGTATAAAGAGTTTATTCCTTAAGATTCTGAGTCTTTAAAAAGCCAAGATGAATTTTACCAGACTCTGAGGAGAATAGGAGTTGACAGCACTGGAATTGCCAGTTCCTGATGCCATCTGGGTGTTGTGTTGGGAATTCGTGAAGACTAGGGCTTGGCCAAAGCTCTGCTGTTGGGGAGACTCGAAAGAGTTGCCTTCTGTTTCTTGGCTAGAAGTCACAGGTTTCTGAAGTAACGTTACTAGGTCAATGCTACAAGAAAGAGTAAGCTGTCGTCAAATACTCACAATTGGGATATTTCAGGAGTGAAAGAAGATCAAGTAACTAAGATCCATACGAAGAACACTATGCTAGCAACTTTATTTAACCTTTCTGGGTCTCATCTCTGCAGCACACAGCACCTCTCAGAAGAGCGAGAATCCAGCTTCCTACTCAGATGGCAAGGTCCTGCCAGCTGCTTGAGAACAGGGTTATTACCACTGCCACATTTACTGCTTCAGAATTGAAGAAAACCTTGCATTTTGTTCTGTAGTTTAGCATTTCAAAGTGAAATGCAGTGCAATTTGAATATTATTTCTCTTGGGTATGTCCAAAGTACTTACCACCATGGTAGCTAAACACCCATTGGCTTACCTAGTAAGCTCATGGAGATCAACATGACTGAGCCATGGGGGTTAAGTGAAAAGAGGTGTTATTTGCTTACTTGAGTGGATCTTGCCACTCAGTCAGTATGTACTTTATATGTCTGTAGCACCTGCAACCTGAGAATCTCAAGGTGTTTTACAAATATTACTGCATCAAGCTTGCCCTCCTCCATGAGGTGAGTATTATTCCCATTTTGTAGATGAGGAAACTCACGCACATAGCAGTGAAGTAACTAGCCCATTATCACATAGGAATTCTGTGGCAGAAACAGGAACAGAACACTAGGCATGTGCCTGAATTTGCTCCACATTACACATCATTAGGATTCGGAACACACGCCTTTCATTTACTTAATATGGCCTCTTGTACGCTACAGTGTAGTCAGAGCCTAATATTGGATAAAATCAGGTGTTAATACTAAAACAAATTCACCCCAAAACATCTGATTAGACGGGAGCTTGTCCATTCACATCCATGCCACCTCCTGGGGGCAAACACAGGATTGTTTTCTAGTATTTTATCCAACGGAACTTTAAAGTGTGCCAAACGCTGAAGCTTCAACAACTTTACAGGGAGTGCGTGAAACAGTTTAGGCTGTGAGAACAGTCAATGGAACAAAGATGTAAATCCTCCCCTACCTTTGCCCAGGAGTGATGTGATTCTCAGCTGGAACAGAAGATGCAGTGAAGACCTTTGTTTCAGAAAGCTGAGAAAGGGGGAAGAAAGAAGGAGAGAGAAAGTGTATTTTAGTTATATGTGCATTGAAAGTTTACATGCAGCAATATTCAAAATAAATAATCCAACCCTGGTTATGTAACTTAAAGAGATCAGTAATACCAAATCATAGTAACAAGTTGCACTGCAGATCACCTTTAAAGGACAAAGAAAACACAGCCCAATTTTAATAAGGACTTGTACACAGTTCTGCACTGATTTAAACACATTGGTGTAAGGCCTGGTCTACACACAGATTTTGTACCAGTATAACTATATCTGTTAGGGGTGTGATTTTTTTTACCCAAACAGTTATATCATTACAGACCCTAATGCGAATGCAGTTATAGTGGCATAAAGATGCCTTACACTGGCATAAATTAGTTTATTCTCATAATAGACAGGGAATAAGATAACAGTACAATATAAGCATCTTTCTACTGGCATAACTCTGTCCACTCTAGGGGAATTGTGCTGCTTTTACTACACCAGTATAGTTAAACCAAGCCAACTTTTGTGTTTAAACAAGCCTTAAGAAACCAACTTCGTTAAACTGATGAAACCACTTTTGGTGTGGATGCAGTTACACCGATAAGTGATTATGTTTATATAGCTGTTAAACTGATATAAGTAAAGTTCAAACAGATATAAGAGTGCTCACACACATTACTCTCCTTTCACTAATTCAGTATAAAATCATCTCTTTAGTTATATCGGTACAACTTTATGTGTAGACCAAGCCTAAGAACAGTTGACCTACCAAAGGAGTGAGCAAGCATTTCACTAGAGTTTGAAGGTTGGGTCCCTTCTCCTGTAAAGCCTGACACGTTCTTAACTTTATACAATGTGAGCAGTTCCATTGAGGTCTTGGAAAGCAAGAGCCAAATTCATCTCTGCCACAGTGTGTGCAGTTCCACTAACATCATTGGGAGTTACATCCCTAAATATGCTACAGTTACTAAATCAAATTGCAAGAGTGCTCATCTGATTAGGGTTCTTTTATGGAACGATGTTCATCCAAATTGAGCGTTACATACCAGGACGGATTCTGATGTGTATTTTAAAGGTGACTGCCTCCCACCAATAGAGGCGAAGATCTAGTTCCGTGGTGTTGGAAGAGTGGGTTGAAGAGCTGGATGAATGTGTTTTGGATTTTATGCTGGCACACAGTTCATGCAAAGTATGGTGTGTTATGAGAAAGTGAAACTCATAGCCCCTCCCTCGTTCCCTCCGTGCTGCCTCTGCCGGTTCTTATTTTAAACTTCGTTCTTTGGGACAGAGATTCCAAACACATCTGTTATGTAAAGCACCACACATACACAGCACTATATATACAATGAATAAGGCTAAGATTTTGTCAAGGTTATTTTTAGGAAAAGTCATGGACAGGTCACAGGCAATAAACAAAAATTCAAGGAGCCTGTGACCTGTCCGTGACTTTACTAAAAATAACTGGGGGCCAGGGATAGCTAGGTAGGAGGGATGGAATCCCATGGGGGGTTCAGGGGGACCCGACAGGCTGAGCTTCCCATCATGGCGGGGAGCACAGCCCCCAGCTCCAGCACCTGCAGCCGGGGGGGGAAGAGGCAACCACGGGGGACATACAGCCCCTTCTCCAGAACTGGCTGCAGCTGCAGGACCGGGATGTGCAGCCCCGACTGCAGCCCCCTGCCAAGCCCTGTCTACAGCTGGGGGGGGGGGGTGCACGGCCCTGGGAAGCTGCAGGGTTGAGGGGCATGGCCCTGCCTAGCCCGGGACACTGCAGGGCTGGAGTGCGCAGCCCCAGCGGAAGCTCCCGGAAGCCGCGGGGCTGGCTGCACGGCCCTGGGTGCAGGGTCCTGCTTCCAGCCATCCCCAGTTGCAGGGGATGTGTAGAAGTCATGGAGGTCCGGTAAAGTCACGGAATCTGTGACTGCCATGACCTCCATGACTAAATCATAGCCTTAATAATGAACAATAAAGAAGGTTAAGCGTTTAATTTCAGCCCAAATAAATTCATAGTAAAGGTTCCTGGTCCATCTATAGCACCCTTCCCCCATTACGTGTTATTGTAGTATACACTGTACTATGCTTTTCTGCAGCATTGTGAGATTCCTGCATTATTATGGCACTAAGAGGTCAGTTAAAAGCGGAGAGGTAGGCTGTGATCTGCAATCCCTTAGTTAAATATTAAATCCTCAATATAACATTAACAGTTTCCCATGCCCACTTAACCTGGAGTAAGATCAACAGTGACTAAAAACACTCTCAAACCCTGAAAGCAGGTTGGCCTGAGAGCTTGACAGACTTGAGACAATTTCAAAAGTGCCTCTTGGGCATGAAAGGGAAAAAATGTTCTTTATCCAAGTGTAATGGCATGCAAAACAACGCCCAAGATGCAGGTTAGTAGCTCTGCTGTATTACATTTATACTACGGACTGTGGCAAACAGTAAACAAGCAGCAGATTTGAGAGTCTGCTGGGATTGTGGCATTTGTCAGAGCCCATGACATGTGCAGCAGCTGAAACGGATGCCACCAGAGTTTCTTAGAAGCAGTTTTATCTGCTTCTGAGTAACTGGGATAACCAGTTGTGCTACACAACAAACAAACCCTTCACTAATGTACTAGCACATTCCTAGAAATAGGTGGATGACAAACAATGATCATCAATTGTTTTTAAAAGTCAACTTCACAGGGGCGCCTCCTCTTCTTACAGAGACATTCCCTTCAAATACAAACATCAGCAAAGTTCCAACTGTAAAACCTTTGCCTAGTCACCAAGTATGCAACGTTTACCAGCTGCCAACCATCTCCCACACCCAGCTAATATGGCTTGGGAGCAAATACTCAAAATGCGTATTTAAGAACTGAAGCAAAATACAAAGCAAGAGTAACAAACCACCAAAATCAGGACCCTAACGGGTATGTCTACATTGCAGCTGGGAGTGTGCCTCCCAGCCTGGGTAGACAGCTAGTTTGGCTCGCGTTAGCGCACTACAAATAGCAGTGCGGACCTTATGGCACAGGTTCGCAAGCCCACCCAACCCCCTGGGTCGGAGCTCAGGTAGCTAGTCCTAGCCTCCGCCAGTGCTGCAAGGCCACAATGCTATTTCTAACATGCTAAATCAAGCCAAGTTAGCACAAGTCTATCTACCCGGGCTGGGAGGCATCCTCCCAGCAACACTGTTACTGAGACCTAAGAAGTTAAAACTAAATGAAAATGATGGTTTTCATGCCATCTTAAATCCTGTTTAAGGGACACTGCCAATTTAATCACACTTCTGTCCATTTATTTTTTAAATAGGAGACTGGTTGTAAAAACTGGCAGGAAGACTGAGGACCAACTGTAGTACCTGAAAATATATTTGCTTTTAATTTGACTTGCCTTCACACTGACACTGTCCCTTTAACAACATACAATTTCATATATTAGACAGACAAGGTGGGTGAAGCAATATCTTCATATATTGTAATTCCAAGTGTCTATTACTGTTTAAACAGAATGGAGAGTATCTAGATTCGTAGAGTTTAAGACCAGAAGAAACCATTAGATCATTTAGTCTGCCCTCCGGTATATCACAGGCCATTAAATTTCACCCAATTACCACTGTATTGAGCCCAATAGCTTGCATTTGACTAAAGCATAATCTGCACTTGGCTAAAGTATATTTCTAATTTAAATTAGTTTAGGTTTGGCTTCCAGCCACTGGTTCTGGCTATGCCTTTCTCCACCAGATTAAAGAGCCTTTTAATAACCTATACTTTTTCCATGTGAAGGAATCAATACTTTTGTCCACTGAGAGACTGGATTCCACTAACACTAACAGTTTGTAATAGACCAGCCACTGAAGTCATTAGTTTGTTGCATGAGTGTAGTTGGCAGGCCAGAATAGACGGATCCCTGATGTGAAGCGAGACAAAGTTAGCCCCCAATCCTGCAATGAGCTCCATCTAGACCAGGGGTCAGCAACCTTTCAGTGTGCCGAGTCTTCATTTGGTCACTCTAATTTAAGGTTTCGCGTACCAGTTTTTAGAAGGTCTCTTTCTATAAGTCTATAATATATAACTAAACTATTGTTGTATGCAAAGTAAATAAGGTTTTTAAAATGTTTAAGAAGCTTCATTTAAAATGAAATTAAAATGCAGAGGCCCCCAGACCGGTGGCCAGGACCCGGGCAGTGTGAGTGCCACTGAAAATCAGCTCGCGTGCCGCCTTTGGCACGCATGCCATAGGTTGCCTACCCCTGATCTAGACCAACCCCTGTGCCCACATGGAAGCACATGACTTCGACGATGCTCCAAATGGATGCAGGGGTTAGCCTGCATAGATTTCTTTGAACAAATAAGGCCTTGCTCCTGTAATAAACCCAGTTATTTGACTATACTATACCAACAACAGAACCACTCCTCATTAAAAAATAGAAGACAGATTTCTAATTAATCTAAAACGGACACCTTTCAAGAATGTACACGGGATAATAATACTTGGCACTTTTATAGCACTTTTAATACTTTCCAGATTACAACCTCCTTGGAAGCTAAGAAATAATTTTCAGATTTGTCTTTGAAGTGAAACACTCCTCTCTCCGGTAAGAACCAAAACCACCACCAGTCTCGACCAAACATTCTGAAGCAAACTCCTCCTCTTAGGAAAATGGGCTTAGAATATCTGATGTCCACATACAGCAGAAGGACCTTGATTTTTAAAGTTCTCTGTTTCCTTATCAAATTTCTCCACTCCACCCCAAACTCCTCTAACCTGCATACACACAGTGGTTTGTTATTGTGGGTTCCTCAGACTGGGCTGGCAGGTAATTAATTAATTAATTAATATTAGACTACCAAAAATGTGCTAAATGCTTTACAGATATGAAGCAAGGCCATTGGCCTGAGAAAAATACATGGACATAGGTTGGGGGGTGGGATGTAACCAAAAAAAAAAAAAAAGTGATTATGTGATAGTAAAAAGTAAGTCTGTTAACACAAAGAAGACTGACTCATGTTTTGAAAAAAGTCAAAAGAATGATATAGATCTTATAAACAGAAAAAATGGATCAAAATTTGGTCAGTCGCTAAGTTTTCATACTTAATCTACCAGTTCATAAAGATCATTATATAAAAAAAAATCTCATGATGCTAAGGGTGTAAGCTCTAGACAATGCAAGGAGAAATGTGTGTGATTAACTCTCATAAGTGCTAAATAGTAGAGTTGGGTTAAGAATGAAAATAATATTTTAACTGTAAAAAAAATATGTAAAATTCTTATATTCACAAATAGTTCACCCAGCCTGATAAAATGAGGAATAATATTTTTACATTATTTGAACCAAAAAGTAGAATGAAATTCATCAAATAATTGATTTTTATGATCTCCATTAAATAGGAATGAACTAAAAAAAATTTTTTTCTTACAACCCCCCCATATGTTGCAAAGTATTACACAGGACATTTATTTTTGACTTCTGAAGGAGATGCACAGACAGCACAGAGTGAATAATTGCTGCCTACTCATCCACATATACTTACATCTTCATTCCAGTCTTCTGCCGTCCATTCTTCTATCGAATTCTTCCATGCTCCTGTTGCAGTATGGGAGAGAAGAGAAATTAGGCACAAATCCTAAGGCTCAATATCATATTTCAGTTCGCACATTAAAAGCCATCTTACCGTCCATCTCTAATTACAGTTATGAATGCAGTACATGCAGGAAATTATGGTCAGGACCACGAGATGCTCTACAGAGTTAGGGTCTTTTGGGAGATATTTTTAACATGTTCTCTAGAATGTAAGGATATTTCTAGCCCTTCTGGTACCAGAGATGGTTTATGTTAAAGGAAAGACTACAGTGTCCTTAAATCAGCCATCATACTCAATAGCACCAAGCATGGTGAGACATTCACCCCACTCACCTTTCCCTGATGATTAAACTTAATGATGGAATCCTAAAGCAGAGTAGAATCTGAGCTCTGCACCACCATAAACATGGGATCCATACTGGCTGCATAGTGGAGCAAGACCTGCTTAGACTTCCAAAGTCTGCATCTGGACCAGTGATACTCAGACCTCAGTGGTTCAGGAGCCAAATCGGTGATCAACATAACCCAAAAGAGCCACAGTAGTGTGAATTCATTTTTTTATTTACTATTTTTATATATATATTTCTCACAGCAAAATGACTGACCAAGTATTATTATTTTATCAACTACAATTGGTAAGCAACATAGTAAAAGCATCCTGATTGGTTAATAACTTAGATTGGCTAATAATTAAATCACCCAGTGTTTTAATATCATCGTGTGCTGTAAAAAGCCGCAGAAGACACATTCAAGAGCCACTTGCGGTTTGCGTGCCTCAGTCTGCGTATCACTGGTTCGTACCGCCTGAGCTGAAAGCACACAGTTGTGTCCCCTCTAGGACATTCCCTTCCTGCCTGCTGGCTGTCTCCTCAGGCCAGAATAACCCCAGTCCACTTTCCCGGGTTGGAAGAGAGCCATTTTACAGGAAAAAAATCTCATTCCTACTGTGGCAGCATGGCGGTTGGCCTGCCACTCCAGCTGCAGCATGGTGCCAAGCCAGTTATGTCACAAGTTGTAGAGAGCAGGCTGTGCAGCGCAGCAGGCAGACGAACACGTGCAGGAATAGCACAGCAGTAGGAAACGTGTTTAATGTTTTTAAAACTGGTCTCTTCTACAGGAAACAGCAAGGGAGAGAGGGGGCACACAACAGTCGGAAACCATTAGAAAGCAGGGGTGTTGGGGCACACACGCTTGAGGCTATCCCAGGAACAGAGCCACCAAATTAACTACACAACCACAAGCGAAGCACCCACCAGCAGTAAAATTTCAGTTTCCATCACCTTTGATCAAATGTAGCTTCGCAAGACACCTCCGTTTTAATCGCATTCTTGTATTCAGCACTGAACCATTTGCAATTAATGAATTTTAAAATAAAGCCCCTTGAAGACAGCATCAAATCCAGTCTGCGCTAATTAGATCAATATAGATGTATATATATCTCAATATATCTGAGTTCATTCCTCTGTGTGTTTTACATTGCAGCTAAGTCATAAACAGTAGGATTGAACACTGCTGATTTGGCAGTCTGAACAGCCCTGCCCCCAACACACACATACCCCCAAAAAAGAAAGAGGACTTATACCTTGGAGTCCACAATTATTTGGCAGGTCCTGAGCAAGATAATGTCCACTCTGGGCTGGCTCTGTGGAGCAATATAAAATTGCCTGAAATGTCTCTCAATCACACTATACCAAATAGCCTCTCACTGAAGGTCTCCATATAAAGTGTTGAGTCATGTACCTGCAGCTAAGCAAAGTAATTTTTGGCGTTTCCAAGGAAAATTCACCAGATCTCCAATTCCTGGACAAACTCCAAAGCTAGCCCATGTGTCCATGGCTTTTCAGACAGGAGGAAGCGCCCTAGTATAATTTAGATGTTGAAGTTAGGTCAGCCTTTCCTCTGGCTTCTTCCTCCTGGCCAATGGAGGATTGCTCCCTACAGGATATGTTCTATATGTATTTTTATTAGTTTCTCTTAAGAATGCATCCTCCTGTCTATTCTGTGTCTGACTTGTGTAGATGGTAAAGCTCTTCAGGGGAAGGATGGTCTCTGTATTTTGTGTCCATACTTTAATAATAAACAATAGTGCTCCAAGTGTTTTGTATAGTTTTGTTTTACGCAAGTCCAGGAATGGGGGTTCCACCAGTCCCCTTGGGAGAGTATTCCAAACCAACAGATCCCACAGTTAGGACATTTCCCTGACATTCAGCCTAATGGTTCATCCCATTCCTATTTTATACCCCCACTGGATCAACCCGTTTTCTGTATTGGCACCCTTCAAACATTTGCAGACAATGAGCACATCTCCCCCACTACGCATTTTAGAAGATTAGCTAAGTTATACGCATTTCATTCTCACTCTTGCTTCCAAAGTCAATCCCTCCATCCTCAACTACTTTGTTGCTCTCCTATGAATTAATTCCTATTTGCCAAGGTCTTCCTACATTGAAGGGCCTGGAACTGCATACAGTATTCCAGGTATGATCTTACTACAAGCACAACAGGTCCTCTCTTCAACGTGTTCACACCTCTGCAGACCAAAAAACAAAACAAAAAAATCATCACACTGGCTTTAATGCCACCTTTCAGCACTGCAAACTTGAATAATTTTCTGTCCACTATTGCCCTACTTCTTCTGGGACACTGCAGTTTTTACAAGTATCTTCTTTCTATTGAAAGTTTGTGTTTTGTTTTTCCAAGTATGTTTGTTATGCAAATTTCATCCTGGATTTCCATCTGTGGGTGCTTCCATTTTTCTTCCATAAAAGCTGGTTTATTTGCTTTGCAGCAGCTCAACGAGCCAGTAAAAGTGCATTCTACTCTTTATTGCTGGTGTGATTGCTACTATTTCCCTCCTAATTTCTGGCTACTGATCACACCTTTGGGATTTTTCCCCCCTTTCGCTCCAGATGCATTATCTTGCACTTTCTGAGTGTGAAACTTATTGTATCCCTATTTCTAAAGTTCCTAGCTCCCCTCTGTTTTATGTTATCCTTGTAATTTACAGCCCTTCCCAATTTAGTATAATCTGCAGTTTTCATTAAAATGCTCTTTCCATTTCAACAATGGACCTAAAACCCAACCCCTTGCAGCTTCCCCGCTACACCATTACCTCCATCCTCTGAGACTGATACATTGTGGTTTATTGCTCTCTTTTCTTTGTGGCCCTTCTGTCAGTTTCATAAATCACATGGGACTGCACATATCCAAGCCAATCTGAATTACATTTACTAGTAAATTTGAGGCACAATATCCGTACTTTAGTAAACATTTGATCACATCTACTGCATTCTTCTCATTCACTGATTTTATAATTCCATTTAAAAAAAGTGATTGAGTCTGCTCTGACTTACTCTATATAAAACCCATGCTGTTTATTGCTCAGGATCCCATTATTTTCTAGATGCTTACAGGTTTCTCCCATAGCAAGAAGTCACAAGAAAGTGAGCGCATTCAGTGTATTGCAAAAAATCTGAAAGCTGGGGGCACCTCTGGCCACCTGGCAAGTACCCCCATTAACCTACCAACTCACAGTGCTCAGGTTTATTGCTTTTCATGTAGAGTTCATCCATTTTGCATTTTTAAACAGTTCTCTTTAAGCTATTTATATAACATACCCTACAACTATAAAAAAAATAGTGGACAGAAGAAGCGAATAGCAGGGAAAGTGTTATAAACAGCTCCCTTCTACTCTTTGGAATAGATGTGTGTTTTAACTTTTTTAGGTTCTATAAGTTACTTAGACTCCTCCTCTCCTTTCCTCTTCACAATCAGCAATACTTTGGTGTTGCATTGTAGCATCATGGAACCTGCTGGCTTTTCCATGATGCCCCAGAATGATACATCTCGAGAGTATCCATGCACCCTTTTGCGACTCTTCTGCCATCTGTGACAGCCCAGGACAACATATTCTAAGGCATCTTTAGTGCAAACAGATTTCATAAGCTAAGAAGAATTTTTAAAAAGCTGAAAAATTGAGCCTGGTTAGTGGGGGGGACAAATTAACAAGTACGATGAACTCAAAACTGAGTTGATATTAGAAGGACATCTTTTAAAAATCTAAAAAGGCTGAACTGTTTTGCAATTTGTGGTTTAGTATTTCTCCACTAGCTGTCCAGTACTTTTCTTCCAGCTAAACATGCAAAAGCTGTTCTCAATCTGTCTTTCCGCTCCTACCTAGAGAGAACGCCTCATTCTGCTTTTTTTGCTGCCCTTATCTTTGCTTTGCATGCATTCTTGTTTCTTTGCATTATTCTTATTCTTCTAGTCACTCGCTCTTCGGTATGGTAATTTTTATGGTGTTCCAGGCTTCTCTCCCCACATTTTCCTCCCACTGCACCACATTCACCAGCTTTCCATCGTCTTCAAAATTTGGTTTCCTGGATTTTAATACCCTTGTACTGATGTGTTCTAGCCCATTTAGAGCTAGGAGAACTTCAGTGGCTCATGCTTTAGCACCAAACTCCATTACCCCCACACCATTTTTCAGTGAATTCTTCTACTCTTGCTAAGTAGATAAGGATAGCTCCTCTATCTGGGTCACAAAGTTGTCCTCTACGTAACTTAGGAATCTGTGTTTAGTCATATTTAGCTGTTCTTGTTACCCAGACATCTGGGCAGAGTCCTCTATTAGCATACATTCCCATGATTTCAAATATCAATAGCTCATCCAAGAATTTCTCTAGCTCTCCATTCTTGGTGAGGAAGTGAGGATGAGTATCAATTTCTCAGTGTAGATTCTCCTTTCTTGTATCTTTTCCTTTCTTCATTAAAGTAGGATTTCACTGCTTCTAAAATAATTAGAATAGCATGCCCCGCCTCCCACCTCTTCTCTGTCTCTATATAGCAAGCACCAATGCTAACATTATAGGCGGGATTTCACGTGTAGTATCACTTCTACTGCCTCTTCTGGCCTTAAAACTTATTTTTAAAAAACAAACATAAGTGAATTAATAATCTTTATTCTAGCTATATGTGTTTTCCTGCAGGACAAATCTATTCAGAATCATTCATTTTGGAAATACATGCCAGATTTTGAGCCAAGTAAAAGCTCCTTTCCAACTAGTTTAAAGTCTGCCTAAGGAGCCATACCAGCTCTGAACCGAGGAGATTCGCCTCCTATCCGCCTAAATGGAGAATGTCTAACGCAGAAAGTCACATCACAAGGGGCTCACACCAGTGCTCAGTGAAGCTGAAATCCTTCTCCTTACATCAGCAGTTGGTCACCAGTATCAGCCTTTTCCTTTCATTTGACAGTAGAAGGGTTGTCAAAAAGATGACCTGCATAGAACCCTTCTATCTTGTGAGCAATTCCTCAGATGCTGAAGTCATCCATTTTCCTCCATTTGCTGGACTACTGTAATTAGTGGCATTTCTCCAGCTTGACACAATCTTTTTTTTGCCCTCGTTACATCTCTTGACCTGGAACTCAAAGAGGCAGCATGCTATTCTGTTCTTTTTCTGAGTCACTGATAAGTCAGATTATGTTCTTTGCTTTCCAGTGCCCAAACAAGACCACTCCCCTTTCAACCTACTGTCTGTGTCTCTGCCTCTAACCAGCAATGAACATTACACCCTTAAGACTTCACCAATAAACACAAAACCTTCTTAATCTTCCTATGAAGATACAGACTGTTCTGTTGGTAGCCATTCTATGGCCTATTCACATTTCTAGTTATTCCCTGTTCTGGAAGATGGCAAGATCTAGGAACTCTCCCACACCTCAGGAACTAATCTGTTTGCCTTCCTGTATGGTAACGGTAGGAATTTCAGAAGTGTCTGAGTGACTTAGGGGCACAAGTCCCAATGACTTTCAATGAGACTTGTGCTTGTAAATCAGTCATGTGCTTTGGAAAATCCCACCGTAATGTACCTATCAAAAATTCCCTATAGGGAAACGGATTTAAATAGCTCCATCCTTCAACCTCTCTTGACTCGTGGGGAATTGTTTATAATTTTGTGAACGAGAACTACTCTTCTCATTGTCTAACCACAGAGCTGTACATATACAGCCATCCTGAGGCTGGAGTACTGCAGCAAGCTGTATAAGTGAGCAAATACCCACGTCAGGTGAGAAGTATAACTATTTTCAGATGTTCATAAAAAAAAACACAGCAGAGCTGTTATTTTAATGGCAACTTGCTACAGCTTTTCATTCCAGCTCTTCCACTTTTGGAAGCCATCTTACCAGTTCCATCATCTGCATCATTCTGACCAGTCTCCCAAACTTCTGGTTTTGGCCCAAAGCCATCTGTGGCAGACGTCTCCGTGTAGTCTGCAGGGTTAAATGTCCTAGGGTTTAAAAAGGTTGGGAAGAACAGAAATATGCAGAAAGTGAATACCAAAGCCACACAAAATGAAATGCCCCAATTTATGGTCTATATTTGTATTAGATTTTTACCAGTTCTTGTCTTTCATATTTCGATAATTTGTGTTTTTCAAAAAAGTCAATTTCTTTTTACTCCCAATAAGGGTGGGGGTGTGCCACCAAAAACCAGGACAGTATAAAAAAAAGTCATTGTAAAGAAACTGAACAAAACCTAGTTCCTGGAAAAGTTGCAATACCAGGCGAACCATTCCCATCCTCATTAAACACTAGTTTACAGTCACAGCAGAATTTTATCAATTGATCATTTCTCAGCAGGATACTACTGATGAGAATCCCATGTCACATGCTTTTAGGGTGCCTGAAGTTTATCCAGGGCAACACGTAGTGTATCAATAAGATGGTGGCACGGAAGTGTTCTGAAATACCCACTGAAGCCAAAACAGCTCAATATCTAAGAGGTAGCCAAATGGTGACCTGGAAATTGATTTGTTGGTTTAAAAAAAAAAGGGGGGGGGGGGGGTGTTGTTTTTCAGCCTATTCACATGAGAATGGAGTGAGAAGAGGAAAAGAGCAAGGAGAAGGCTTATTTAAGGCGTGGAGGCAGCCAAGACACGAAAGAGAAGAGAAAAAGCTAATTTTTATTCTCTTGACACCACGGATATGATCCACAAAGTTACTGAGAGCAAATAATGGCTAGAGGCAACGAGGTTACAGTTCTGCAGTCCAGATGAAAAGAGTTCTAATGGCAAGACTGAAAAATCCTTAGAGTTGTGGGTTCAGCAGGGGAAAAAGTTTCTTTTGATTCTGTACCAAGGTGCACGTACATGCAAAGAACATTGTCTAAAATATAAAACACTAAGAATGGAGGGAAGCTCCCGCACCTTCTGGTAGAAAAGATTAGATCAGGGGTAGGCAACCTATGGCACGGGTGCCGAAGGCGGCACGCGAGCTTATTTTCAGTGGCACTCACACTGCCCGGGTCCTGGTCACCGGTCCGGGGGGCTCTGCATTTTAATTTAATTTTAAATGAAGCTTCTTAAACATTTTAAAAACCTTATTTACTTTACATACAATAAGAGTTTAGTTATATATTATAGACTTCTAGAAAGAGACCTTCTAAAAAAGTTAAAATGTATTACTGGCACGCGAAACCTTAAATTGGAGTGACTAAATGAAGACTCGGCACACCACTTCTGAAAGGTTGCTGACCCCTGGATTAGATTCACTTGTCTTTTGGGTTTTTTTTAAGAATCTACGTGCTTCAAACTACAGCCAAACAAGTTTCCATTCAAACTGGGCTACAAACCAGCCATGCAGAACTTTCAACCTGCAACGCCTCTGGATTGACTTGGACTTTCCTTGAAGGGCTGGGTTACATGGGGACAAGCTCAGTTTTCTGAGGACTGGGGAGGGATTTTGTTTAGGGAGTTGGTTGTTTTTTTTTTGAGTGTCTCTGACATGTTGACTCCTGTGTACTCAGGTTAACGTTAGTTTGCCTAGAGATGGCAATAGTCTCTCTGCATACAATGAATCAAACTAGTATTTCACAGACACTGTTTCACAGATCTGTATGCTTTCTATCCACAGCAATATACAATATATTTGTCAAGTAGTATTAAACTGGACAGCGATTAACACTCCTGCTGTGTTCGATTTTCCCTGAGAACTATTTGCATCACTTACCCCATGCCTTGGGCTGAAAATCTCCCAGCTCCTCGCCCTCTACCGCGTCCAAACCCTACAAGGATAGAGAACACCCTTTAATAGCACCCATACAGATGGGCTGATTGCTAATCTGTCACACAGGAGAATACTGGGTTTGAGGAAGAAAGCTAGAATGGATGAATTTACTAAATACAACTTCTCTCTCCTCAATTCCCCTCAAAGTAAAAAACCCTTCTCTAATCCATACAAAGAACAAAATATTAGTTCATCATAATATTTAGTAGTATAGTAAAGCAACCATTCTTTCCCCTCCTCTTAAAACTAGAAGAGGAGAAGATCAAACAGACCAAAGTAAGGGCCAACATAAAATCTTAGGTACATCATACACATCAGCACAGTGCCTCTATTGTTGAATGTGTATATCAACCTAGCTCTGTACAGCACACAAATTAAACTTGGGTGGGCAAATATATACTAGAAACTACTCAAACCATATTTTTTTATGTCTAGTATGGAGATGTATAGCTATTATTATCTAAGTTCAGTGTACAGTCCTTACCTTTCAATTTCTTGTGCTTGACTCCAAGGCCTGCACAAGCCCCAGCCTACACCTCTGGCCTAATCACATTTTCTCTCATTCCTCTGCTGTACCAATGTTAGCCTCAACAACCCATTTTGTTTCCCTCTCCTACTCCTGGATCTGGGCCTTTCCCTGCAGCTGTCCTTTATGCAGTCTCAAGTTTGCCAAGCCGAAACTCTCGCCTTATTCAAATTATACTTAAGGCTAAGATTTTGTCAGATATTTCTTGTAAAATAAATGGACAGGTCACAGGCAATAAAGAAAAACTCACGGAAGCCCATGACCTGTCTGACTTTTACTAAAAATATCTATGGGGAGCTGTTGGGTCCCCACAATCCCCTCGGTGGCTACAGAAAGGGCCTCGCTAGCAGCTCCGGGTCCCCCCCGCCGCTCACGGCAGCCGGGAGCTGCAAGTTACCCCTGGCCAGTGACTGGGAGCTGTGGGGGCCGCACTGCCAGATGCGACCAGGGTACCCCACAACTCCCAGCCATTGCAGGCAGGGGGCGGGGGGGGACGACTTCTACGACCTCCGTGACAAAATCGGAGCCTTAACTATATCCAATGACTCCCTTCTTACACAATGGGGGTGGGGGGGGGTGGGCGGGGGGGGGGGGGGGGGGGGGGGGGGGGGGGGTGGGGTGGGGGCGGGGGGAGAGGCGGGGGGGGGGGGGTGTTTCCTCCTTTGGGTTGCACTCTTGACATCGGCCTCAGACTATAAGCTCTTTGGTACAGGGACTGTCTTTACTTTCATGTCTTGCATAGTGCTGACAACATACTAGAATCATTTACATTACTTAATAATCCCAAAAGCAGTCTGCTATTTTAGCATTTTAAACAGTGTTTCATATGTGCAATACATTTCTACATCTGGTTTTCCATTCATTTTTTGCTGTTAACATGTGATGGCATACTTTTTGAGAAGAAAATACATTCAGAGTTCACAACTACCTATTTGCATAACACAACACCTGGGAGCCTAGAACTCCAGCTACACAGCAAAGCAGAATATTTTATTATGGATGCATTACAGGTTACCAAAACAGGGATCTTTAGGTTGCCCCAACTATCAGGACAAGTATGAATTTGTAACATTACCCTGCTATTGTAATCTTTTAGGGCTCCCAAGTACTAGTTACAGTCATGAAGCAATTGGATGCATGTATGAATGTAAGCTCTTAAACACATACAAGAAAGCAAGGCATTGCTTGCCTGACCTTAGTATGCTCCAGGAAGGGCACTAGAATTTGGACCACGTTTATCTGTTATTGGCAGATCTGGCCTCAATCTCTCCCTAATTTCTCTCCAAAAGAAGAGGAACTATTCAACTCAGGGTACCTAATGTGCACAGCAGGGCTGGAAAAAGAGGACCTTGTCAAGGTTCCTTCAGAAACAGAGTCCAGAGAACCCCAATGATCACAGTATAAATATTTAGATGGATAGGACTAGTTTTAGATCATTAGGGAAATGTCCTGCACAGGGGCTGCTTTTGGAAAGGGCTGAAATACCCAACATAGGCAGGTAGGTAGGAATGTTTCAAGGATTCTTCAGCAAGATCATTCTGAACATTGACAGAGGCAAGACACTTGGATAGTAACCTACAGAACTAGTCAGGGAGTTTAGAATAGAAAGATATTGTTGATTGAAGCAGGAGGCATTTGTTTCAATAGCCTAAAGCAGAGGTATAAGAAGCATATAAATGGGTTGAGCAGCAGAGCACCTCTTCCATTTGACCAGGTGAAAGCATTATAAAAGGAGAACTTGACATGTAGGTGAAAGATTAGAACATCAGAATGGCCATACTGGGTCAGACCAAAGGTCTATCTAGCTCAGTATCCTGTCTTCTGACAGTGGCCAATGCCAGCTGCCCCAGAGAGAATGACAGAACAGGTAATCATCAAGTGATCCATCCCCTGTTGCCCATTCCCATCCCTGCCCATCCTGGCTAATAGCCACTGATGGACCTATCCTCCATGAACTTATCTAGTTCTTTTTTGAACCCTGTTATAGTCTTGGCCTTCACAACATCCTCCGGCAAAGAGTTCCACAAGTTGACTGTGCATTGGGTGAAGAAATGTTTTTTTTTGTTTTAAACCTGCTGCCTATTAATTTCATTTGGTGACCCCTAGCTCTTGTTATGCGAAGGAGTAAATAACATTTCCTTATTTACTTTCTCTACACCAGTCATGATTTTATAGACCTCTATCATATCCCCCCTTAGTCGTCTCTTTTCCAAGCTGAAAAGTCTCAATTTTATTAATCTCTCCTGTTCCATACCCCTAATCATTTTTGTTGCCCTTTTCTGTACCTTTTCCAATTCCAACATATCTTTTTTGAGATGGGGCAACCACATCTGCACGCAGTATTCAAGATGTGGGCATACCATGGATTTATATAGAGGCAATATATTTTCCATTTTATTATCTATCACTTTCCTAAAGATTCCCAACATTGTTAGTTTTTTTGACTGGTGCTGCACCTTGAGTGGATGTTTTCAGAGAACTGTCCATAATGACTCCATGATCTCTTTCTTGAGTGGTAACAGCTAATTTAGACCCCATCATTTTATATATGTAGTTGGGATTATGTTGTCCAATGTGCATTACTTTGCATTTATAAACTTTGAATTTCATCTGCCATTTTGTTGCCCAGTCACCCCATTTTGTGAGATCCTTGTGTAACTCTTTGCAGTCTGCTTTGGACTTAACTATCTTGAGTAGTTTTGTATCATCCGCAAGTTTTGCCACCTCACTGTTTACCCTTTTTTCCAGATCATTTATGAATATGTTCAACAGAACTGGTCCCAGTACAGACCTTGGGGGATACCACTATTTATCCCTCTCCATTCTGAAAACTGACCATTAATTCCTATTCTTTGTTTCCTGTCTTTTAACCAATTAAGGATCCATGAGAGGACCTTCCCTCTTTTCCCATGACAGCCTTCTTTGCTTAAGAACCTTTGGTGAGTGACCTTGTCAAAGGCTTTCTGAAAATCTAAGTACACTATATCCACTGGATCAACCTTGTCCACATGCTTGCTGACACTCTCAGATAATTCTAGCAGACTGGTGAGGCATGATTTCCCTTTACAAAAACCATGTTGATTGACTCTTCCCCAACAAATCATGTTCATCTGTGTGTCTGATAATTCTGTTCTTTACTATAGTTTCAACCAATTTGCCTGATACTGAAGACAGGCTTACCGGCCTGTAATTGCCAGGATCACCTCTGGAGCTCCTTTTTAAAAATTGGCATCACATTAGCTATCCTCCAGTCATTTGGTACAGAAGCTGGTTTAAGTGAGAGTTTACAAACCATAGTTAGTAGTTCTGCCATTTCACATTTGAGTTCCTTCAGTACTCTTGTGTGAATACCATCTGGTCCTGGTGACTTCTTATTTAATTTATCAATCTGTAACAAAACTTCCTCTAACAACACCTCAATCTGGGACAGTTCCTCGGAGGTGTGACCTAAAAAGAATGGCTCAGGTTTGCGAATCTCCCTCACATTCTCAGCCATGAAGACCAATGCAAAGAACTCATTTAGTTTCTCCGCAATGGCCTTATCTTCCTTGAGAGTTTCTTTAGCATCTCAAACGTCCAGTGGCCCCATGGGTTGTTTAGCAGGCTTCCTGCTTCTGATGTACTTACATTTTTCGCTGTTACTTTCTGAGTCTTTGGGCTAGCTGTTCTTCAAATTATTTTTTGGCCTTCCTAATTATATTTAAGATGACAATTTAGTGCATGAAGAGAGTGCTAGAGATCCTGTCCTGGTGTCTGTCCTGCTGTTTCATTAAGGACTGAAAAATGAAGTTACTGGTTAGGGCTAGACATGCAGCAATTTCACTCCATATTCTGACCTCAAGAGAGGTGGTCTTCTAGGTAACTAACCAGGAAGTTCTATTCTGGATCTTTTTTAAAGGCTTTGTCTACATGGGAACACTCAGGAAAATTGATCCAAATTAACTAAGGGTATGACTACACTATTGAGCCTACGCTCACATAGCTATTTTAGCACAGTTATGCCAGCATAGCCCCCAAGCTTAGATGCAGCCTACCTTGACAAAAGGAGTATTTCTGTCAGTGTAGGAACACAACCTTCCTGAAAGACATTACCTATATCAACAAAAGCCCTTTTCTGTTGGCATAGCTGCATCTAAACTGGGGGTTTTATGTTGATCTGGGTGTGGGTATTTTTGACACCATCTAACACAGCTATGCCTACATAACTTTGAAGTGTAGACCAAGCCTAAAGCTGTAAGTTTAAAGTGGATTAATTAAACCGCATTAAGCGTCTGTGTGGATGGTCTCATTCAGAATTAAAGTGGCCTTAATTCAGTTTAATTCACTTAGGCTAGGTCTACACTACCCGCCTGAATCGGCGGATAGAAATCGACCTCTCGGGGATCGATTTATCGCGTCCCGTTGGGACGCAACAATCGATCCCCGAATTGACGCTCTTACTCCACCAGTGAAGGTGGGAGTAAGAGCCATCG